CGTAGCATGGAAATTTTAACAGTATTTCTTCTTCCAGTCCATGAGCATGGAATCTTTTTCCATTTGTTTGTGTCATCTTTAGTTTATTTCATCAGTGTTTTATAGTGTACAGCATACAGGTCTTTTACATCCTTGGTTAAGTTGATTCCTAGGTATTTTATTTTTGGTGCAACTATAAATAGGATTGTTTTAATTTCTCTTTTCTGTGACTTCATTATTAGTGTATAGAAATGCAATAAAGGGGCGCCTGGGTGGCTCAGTCGGTTAAGCATCTGACTTCAGTTCAGGTCATAATCTCACAGTTCATGAGTTCGAGCCCCACATCCGGCTTTGTGCTGACAGCTCAGAGCCTGGAGTCTGCTTCGGATTCTGTGTCTCCTTCTCTCTCTGTCCCTTCCCTACTCATACTCTGTCTCTCTCTGTCTGTCTGTCTCTCTCTCAAAAATAAACAAAATTAAAAAGAAATGCAATAGATTTCTGTATATTGATTTTTGTATCCTTTAACCTTCCTGAATTCATTTATCAGTTCTAGTAGTGTTTTTGTGAAGTCTTTATAGGATTTTCTATATATAGTGTCATGTCCTCTACAAGTAGTGAAAGTATTCCTTCTTCCTTACCAATTTGGATACCTTTTATTCCTTTTTCTTGTCTGATTGTTGGGGCTAGGATTTCCAGTACTATGTTGAATAAAAGTGGTAAGAGTGGACATCCTTATCTTCTTCCTGACCTTAAGGGAAAAGCTCTCAGTTTCCCCCCATTGAGTATGATGTTCGCTGTAGGTTTTTCATTCATTCATTCCTTCATTCATTCCTTCAAAGAGAGAGCATGAGCAGGGGAGGGGCAGAGGGACAGGGGGAGAGAATCTTAAGCAGGTTCCATGCCCAGTGCGGAGACCAACGAGGGACTCGATCTCACAACCATAAGATCATGACCTGAGCCAAAATCGGGAATTGGCCACTCGACTGAACAAACCACCCTGCTGTGGGATTTCCATATGACCTTTATGTTGAGGTATGTTCCCTCTAACCCTACTTCGTTGAAGGGTTTTTTTAAATCATGAATGGATGTTTTACCTTGTCAAATGTTTTTTCTCCATCTATTGAAATGATCCTATGGTTTTTATCCTTTTGTTGATGTGATGGATTGCATTGATTTGCGAATATTGAATCCCTCTTGCATCTCAGGAATAAATCTCATATGATTGTAGTGAATGATTTTTTGAATGTATTGCTGGATTCAGTTTGCTAATATTCTGTTGAGAGTTTTTGCATCTACATTCATTAGAGGTTTTGGCCTGTATTTTTTTTTTAATTTTTTTTTTAATGTTTATTTATTTTTTTTGACAGAGACAGAGACAGAATGCAAGTGGGTTAGGGGCAGAAAGAGAGGGAGACACAGAAGCAGAAGCAGGCTCCAGGCTCTGAGCTGTCAGCACAGAGCCCGACGCAGGGCTCGAACTCATAGGCTCTGAGATCATGACCTGAGCCGAAGTCGGACGCTCAACCGACTGAGCCACCCAGGCGCCCCCCGTATTTTTTATTATAATGTATTTATATGATTTTGGTATCAAGGTAATGCTGTCCTCATAGAATGAATTTAGAAGCTTTCCTTACTCTTCTGTTTTTTGGAATAGTTTGAGAAGAATAGATACTAACTGTTCTTTAAATGTTTGGTAGAATTCACTCGTTTGTTGGGAGTTTTTTGATTACCAGCAATGAACCTGAATGAGTAATCAGTTTGTTCATATTTTCTCTTATTCAATTTTGGGAGGTCATATGTTCCTAGGAATTTATCCAGTTCTTCTAGGCTCTTCAGTTTGCTGGCATACAATTTTTCGTAATGTTCTCTTGGAATCCTTTGTATTTCTGTGGTATCGGTTATTTCTCCTCTTTCATGTCTGATTTTGTTTGAGTCCTTTTTTTTTTTTTTTTATCAAAATCTTATTGATCTTTTCAAAGAACCAGCTCCTGATTTCATTGATCTGTTCTATTGTATGGTTTGTTGTTTGGTTCTATATCATTTTTTCCTGCTCTTATCATTATTCCTTCCTTCCTTCTCTTGGAGTTTGGAGTTTTGTTCTTTTTCTAGTTCCTTCAGGTGTTAGGCTAGGTTGTTTGAGATTTTTCTTCTTAAAGTAGGCTTGTATTGCTAGAAACCTCCTTTTTCGAACAGTTTTTGCTGCATCCCAAAGATCTTGGACCATGGTTTTATTTTCATTTGTCTCCATGTATTTTTTTAATTTCCTCTTGGATTTCTTGCTTGACCCATTCATTGTTTAGTATCATGTTATTTAACTTCCATGTATTTGTGCTTCTTCCAGATTTTTTTCTTGTGGTTGATTTCCAGTTTCATAGTGTTGTGGTCAGAAAAGATGCCTGGTATGACTTTGAACTTTCTGAATTTGTTGAGACTTGTTTTGTGGCCTAATATGTGACCTATTCTGGAGAATGTTCCATGTGCACTTTGAGAAGAATGTGTGTTCTGTTTTAAGATGGAATGCTCTGAATATATCTTGTTAAATCCATCTGGTCCAGTTTCCTTGTTGATTTTTTGTTGGAGTGATCTGTCCATTGATTTAAGTGGGATGTTGAAGTCCCCTATTATTATTGTACTACTATCAATTACTTTATTATTTACTGCTTTATGTATTTGCTCCCATGTCCATATTGGATGCATAAATATTTATAATTGTTATATCCTCTTCGATTGTTCCCTTTATGGTTATCTTAAAATCTATTTTGTCCGATGTAAGTATTGCTAATTCAGCTTTCTTTTCATATCCATTTGCATGATAAATGCTTCCTTTTTTTTTTTTTCCATGTTTTTTGTTTTTGAGAGAGAGGGAGAGACAATCTGAAGCAGGCTCCAGGCTCTGAGCTGTCAGCACAGAGCCTGATGCAGGGCTTGAACTCACAAACTGCAAGATTATGACCAGAGCTGAAGTTGAATGACCAACTGACTGAGCCACCCAGGTGCCCCAACATAAAGCCTTTTAAAAAACAGTTTAGAGTCTATGTGGAAGACTCCACACTTATAGCTAAATAAGTTCTCTGCTTACTGTCAATGTTTATACAATAGTGTTTACTTAAAAATTAGCAAAGTCATGATCAGTGTGCATTTGTGATTGAATGTGTTCTTGTCCTATGACCTAAATGGAACAAATTTCTTCAGGGAGTATTTCAAAAGGCATTTGTACAAAACTAGCCTGCAAAAAATTGAGATTTGATTGGTACACTTAGTCTGTTTGTGCCAATGTATCATGTGGAGTTACTTTTCTTTCCCTCTTCCTGCATTGTTAGCACACATCTTTCCCATTGTGTTTATATAATTTCGAACATTGGAAAAAAATGTGTGTTCACTTGCTCTATTCTAGCTCCTGGAGATGCACAAAAAAAATAGTTACTGTTTTCAAGAGGCTCACAACTAGGGAGACCCAAACAGAAAATTATCTGACAAAGTGATAAACACAGTGACCATAAATTAGCTGGAGAGTATTTTTAGTTGCAAACCACAGCCCCTAACTCTGGTAAACCTAAGCAGAAAGGGAGTTTTCACGTGTCAGCAGGTAGCTCACTGACTCTCCGAGAGACGAAGAAAGCCAGATTGGAGTCTTTGAAGCCAGGAATGATGCTCAACCTCACTGCACCCTGGTGCTGGGACCCCTCCACTGCTACCTCGGGAGAATAGCTGTGCCTGCCACAACTGCCATCCCCATCGCCGGGACAGATTTCGAACAAAACAGAGGAGGTGCCCCACAGAGCTGAAACCCAGACTTCTGGGAGGGTGAGCTGCTCGTGTCTCCCAGGAGCATGAGGACACCGGTTCTGGGAGTACTAGACAAAGTGCAGTCGGTGCTGCCGCCCGTATGGCCTGCCGCTGCAGACGCCATTGCTAGGGGTGCTGCTGATGGGAACAGAGCAAATAGGAAAAATCCCTTCCGCATCCCGCCTTGTAGCTACTATTCTCTTCCTGCAGCCACTTCCAGACTCTGAGCATCTCACTCAACAGCTAAAATGAACAAATGAAGATATTTTATATAATTTCATCACTAAATGGAAGTCAAGAATGTACTGACCCCAAGATAATGTGACACAAAAAAATCCGGAAGATAAGGAAGGGTCAGAGCTTGGGGTGACTTCTGAAACCAGAGGACTTGGACCTTTGTTGGTAATACAAGATGCCAAAGCCCAGGACAGGAGGCCCTCTGATAAACCTGGACCCAACAGTGTACAAGTAAATGAGGAATAAACCCCATCACGCAGAAGGAGTCAACAAGGCAATGTGTCGGTCTCTAACCGGACACTAGGTCAAGGGGAGGACTCTCCCTGCAGAATTGCAGTCTGAAGTCACACCGACTGTAGGGTTTGAAGCCCCTAGTGGAGAATTTGATTCAAACTGGTTCTGGGTAATGCCCCCAAGTGACAGGCAGAAGCTTTCCCAGTTTTGTTTAGGAGAGCTCAGATTCCACTCAGCCCTCCAAGAATATCCACAGATAAAATGACCAGCTTACAGTCAAAAATTCACAAGGCATACAAGGAAATGAAGCATCATGAATAAGAGCCAGCAGAAACCTCATACTGAAACCTTACTAGTAACCAGAGAGAGATTAATAATTCATACTCATCAGTTTGACAAAAAGGGTTTTCAATTGGCATCACCTAGTGTATGCATGTAAACATTGCATACTCCCCATACCTACATTATATCCTAAAGAAACTCTTACACATGTATCTCAGGAGTAATATACCAGAATGTTCCTAGCAGTATTGTTCATAACAGGAGGGGGAGGGAACCATAGAAAAAACCCTACTGACCAACATTAAAATGGATACACTGTTGGGGCACGTGGGTGGCTCAGTTAGGTGTCCAACTTTGGCTCAGGTCATGATCTCACTGTTTGTGGGCTCAAGGCCCACATCGGGCTCTGTATGTCTCTCTCTCTGCCCCTCCCCTGCTCGTACTGTTTCTCTCTCAAAATTAATGAAACATTAAAATAATTTTTTTTAAATAACATTTTTAAAATTTTTAAAAAATGGATACACTGTGTCATTTATACACTGCCACACTACAGAACGGTGAGAAAGAACCAGCCTCACTATGTGCATCAACATGCATGAATCTCAAAAAAAAAACTGAACAAAAGCAATAGAATATGTCAAGTATAAGTGAGGCCATTTACATAAAAAGTACACCTTGTTTAAGGATACATACCAAGTAGTAAAACTAAAATGAAAGGCAGGAGGATATAATTATCACAAAATTCAGGATAGTAGTTATTTGGGAAAGGAAGTAGGAAGGAGGTATAATCAAAGTGGGTTCACAAAACGGGGGTTCTGCTGGAGCTGGTAATACCCTTCTTTAAAAGGTACATTTCACATACTCCTGTGTGATAGCTTTCATAAGAAATAAGGAATAATCCTTCCTTCTCCAGCCCATGGCACCTACTGTCAGAGTGATGTGCTGTTCACATTTTCAATGCCAGCTTCTTTGGCCATCAAACAAAAGGGGCCAGAATTTTTCAGCAGTTCGTTAGGGGTGCCATACTCTACAATCTTCCCGTTGTCTAGGACCATTATCCTGAAACAAAGGAGAAAGAAAGGTCTTAGCAGCATCTCAGATCTTGGCATTTATAAGAACAACTAGTACTAAGTTGTGGTATATTCATTCATAAAAGGTGATAAAGCAGTGAGAATGAGTGAACCATAGCTGTCTGTGTTAGTCTGGGTGGATTCCAGAGATAATGCCAAAGAATCAAGTGGAAGAATATATACAGTATAAGTCCATTTACATAAGTTTTTGTTTTTTTTGTTTTTGTTTGTTTTTTTAAGATATACATTGTTGGAGGGAGACTATTCTCCAAACAGGTCCCAAGATTATGGACATTACCCCCATTTTAAATGTAAGATGTCAGAGTTGGAAGAAGCAGAAAACTAGTTATTGTATGGAGGCAGCTGCTGAGACCCAGTTGAATTGAGAAAATCTGTGGTTAATATCTGCCTCTCGTGGCTTGGGCCTCCACCTCCCACACTCAGTTAATTTACTATTGCCTATTATACCCTCAGGACTGTTCCCTTAACACCCTGTTGGCTTTTATTAGCGTGATGTAGAATTTTGGACCCATTACTTGAACTCTCGGAATCTTTGGCTGGAAGATATCTTACGGCTAATGTGCTTAGTTTTTTCAAGGCTCAGTCGTGTCTGTCCAGCTCTGTCACTCACACTCACTTGTCACTGTCCATGATGGTGTGGAGCCTATGAGCAATGGTGATAGTCGTGCAGTGGGAGAACTCCTTTTGGATGGTCGTCTGGATAAGGTGATCGGTCTCTATATCCACCGCAGCAGTGGCCTCATCCATGATCAGAATCTTGGATTTCCGAAGCAGAGCCCTGGCCAGGCACAGCAGCTGCCTCTGCCCTATGCTGTAGCCAATGGAACAAACCAAGCATTAGCTCCTCAGGACCAAGGCAAAACGTGGGATGGGTGTGCGTGCACATACACGTGCACTTTTCATGTTCCGGATCAGGCTTTCAGAACCCCTACTCCTAGATTCCTCCAGGATGAATACCTAACAGAAGAGGCGAACACCATGTTTTCCTAACTTTCTCCATTAGAAGACCTACCACAGGTACTTAATTTTAAAATTCATATTTCTGGGTCCCACTCTTCTCAAGCAGAATGGGGAGGAGCCTAGAAACATGTATTTTTAATAAGCACCCCAGGCAATCTCCATGTTTGATGAGTTTGGAAAACCCTAGCCCAGGAATAGTTCTTTGCATCACTACAGTAATAGCCCAGCACCTCAACAGTAATTCCAAAATAACTCAGGATGCCACCAAGTTCAGTGCAGCAATATTTGACCTGGCACTGTGAATATCGGGTGACACTGCATCAGAATGCCCCAATGGCGTTTCTTAGTGGCCTTAGCAAACCCATTCATTATTTTAATGTGTAATTCTAGTCTCAAGGCTAATTATTTGTTCAAGGCCTTCTGCCTTGATTAGAGACATAGCTCTCTAATGAACGTGATGTCTTGGTGTGAGATGCAATGTATGTGGAATTCGAATATGCTAGTAAAATGCAAATCGCTTTAATTTGCTAAAAGCCAGTAATGAAGGCTGGACCTCTTACTTACATAAAGAAGCTTTGGGAAATGATGTGGAGGAAATATTCAGGAATTCGCTAATTGCTCTTTCCTGCTGTGGCCATTAGGGAACGTATTAAACAGAGGGCGGCTAGACTAGAGTTCTGTAATTCTCTGTAAGAAAATTTCTGCAGGAGATGAGAAGTCACCCAAGATGAACTTCCAGTTTTTCTCTGTAATGTAAGAACAGAGACACTGTAAAACCGTACTTCAGTTGTACCAAACTCCTGCCTGGCTCAGTCGGGCTTCACAGTAATAGGCTGTTACCGAGGCCCCAGTCTGGTGTTCAGCTGCTATCTCTCCTTCCAAATGATTGATCTCCCATCACGCACCAGAGAAATGTTGAGTTTCAGCCCTCAACCCTGGTCTGAAATCAAGGCCCTGATAATGCCGGATAGGTGTCTCCCAGCAAGGATAGAGAAGGATGGGAGGACTTTTGTTCTCACAAACCAGATGTGTCAAGGCCCGTGTCACATCTTGCCAGAGGGACCCACACGGCCCACATGTCTGCGTATCCACTATATGACATTACTTTGTACACGATCAATGCATATTTGTGGACTGAATAATCTTTTCCATAGGCCTAAAAATCTACTTAAGTCCTGCCAGTTCCTAGATCTGTTGCTGATGGTTAACAAACTTGGTGCCATTCTATACCAAAGCTTACAAGTGTTCTCTGGGGCTACACACCGAAGTCACCTAGGCCCTGACTCAACTGGTCTGGGGTGCAGCCTGGGCATTGGAATTTTAAAAAAATGTTCCCAGGTGATTCTAGTGTGTAGCCTAGTTAGGAATCAATACTCTTAGGCAGTGCTTCTTAAGCTGTAATGTACACACAAATCCCTTGGAATCTTGCTAAAATGTAGATTCTGATTAGTAAGTAGGGTTGAGTCAGAGTGTGCATTTGTAACAAGTTTCCAAGAGAAACCAGAGCTGCTGGGCCTCCCTTCAGTTCTGAGCTTCATCTGCTAACGTTCCACGCCCTACCTACCACTGGGACTGGAGCAATCCTATGATACCACGGACTACCTAGCCCAAGGAACAAAGGAGTGGATCCCCTTCACTTCCTCCCAGTGCCTGTGGGTTATGAAACATTACCTAAGGTTGTCACCAGCCTCTGTCACTTTGTGGGACAATCCAAGTTGCAGGCCAGCCACAAAGGATTTGAGGTGAGCCAGCTCCAGGGCCTTCCAAATCTCCTCATCTGAGTGGTTGTTAAAAGGATCTAGATTCATCCTCAGGCTTCCGGAGAACAGGATGGGATCCTGCAAGTCAAGGGATGAGGGGGCTATTGAAGGTAATGACAAAAAAAGGGTCTAGCAGGGTTTTTTTTGTTTTGTTTTGTTTTTTGTGGCCAGGAGAAAGTAGCGAGGACTGGCCTGAGGTGCAAAGCTGGTTAGTGGTCAAGCTTTTGCAAAGTTTCCTCACTGAAGACTAAAGGGGCTGCCAGAGGATTAAAAGGAGTTCTTGGTTTTTTCATTTTAAGATTCATTTATGGATTTCCATGAAAACTCATGGTAAGGAGGTGGAAGGGTCAGGGGTGGTCAGGGGAAGGGACAGTACAGAAGAATTTATTAAGCTGCAGAAAAGATTCAAACTGAGCTAACACCAGACAAACCAAAACCACCCCCCAGAGACTTGGCTAGAACAGCAGAGGAAGAATGGTTCTAATAAGGACCCATATATCACCACCCCTACCACCCCGCCCCCAATCCCCGCCTAAACCTCCAAGAGAGGCCTTATTTGGCAGGGTCCAGAGAGGAAGCCAAAGAGAAGCCTTTTTTTGCTGATGCACTAAGCGTTCCACTTGCTGGCAAAAACCTGCAGCAAATTCCCTCCCCTATCTTTTAACCATATCAAATGGGGAGTATAAAGCTTAATGGTTTCAAGCTTCAGCGGCAAAACTACTAATGTTGATTGCAAAGGTCTCGCGAACCTAGGATGGGCTACAGAAATGCTAAATAATCATCCGCTCTATTTGACTGCTGTTGTGTTGCTGCCACTTAGTGGTTAGATTTTGGCAGTGACATAAGTATATTGCCACAAAATGCAAAAGTTATTTTTGTCAGTTCTGGAAACCATGTGTCCTAGGGTATCCTGGGTAGAATGCAGAAATGAGACTGCTAACTGAATATACATCAAGAAGATGCATATGTTTCCTGCAGAAAAATCTGTCCCCTGCTGCACGTGCAAAGTTCTAGACCTCACCTGGGGGATGATGGTCAGTTTCTCTCGGAGGTCATGGAGCCCAATGGAAGCAATATCTACCCCATCAATGATGATCTGGCCACCTGCAGCCTCTAGGATTCTGAAGAGGGCATTTGTCAAGGATGACTTCCCAGCTCCTGTCCTGCCGACCACACCAACCTGTAAATACAGTTCCTTTGTACATTAGTTTGCCGTGTACTTCTTTGGGGGAAAAATGTTTAGCCTGGGACATTCTGGGCACTGACTGGCTACTTCATCTCTAAGGTGTTCAACTGATATTGATTTTTGGTGGGGGAAAAAGGGCCCAGATGTCAGAAAAAAGATGCCTTCTCATTCTACCTTCTCAACTGTTGGTTGCTCAGAACTGTAATGACCATTGGAAATGTACACATCAACAGCTGTTGTTGTAATTATGATAAGACATTATAGGGTTTAAAAATAAATCTTCGTTTAGAAGTGAGGAAAACGGAAGGGTCAGGCCTAGCATCAGTTGAGAACCTCAGCATCCTTACCTAGACTTTTTTTTTTTTACATTTTTACATCAGACCCCAAGTCCTCATAGAGAAGGCGCAGGACTTTGCAGACCAGAGAACTAAGTCATTTTCTCTGCAGAGACCACCTCCACATTGCTGTTCTCACCAGTTCCTTCCCCAGGCTGGGTGCTTTCTATCATGCCCTTACAGGAAAGGAGCTACATCAGCAACAGAAGATGATGCTGGCAGGGAGGCAGGGAAGGGCTCAGCAGAAAACTCTTATAGCCCCAGTAAGTCTGTTTGATCCCTTGTTGACATCTTGCCCTCTGGGGGAGGAGAGGGCAGAAGTGTCCTGACCCTATCCCTCCACCCCAATGATGAAAGCAGAGTCTGGCTGCTCTCCCCCTCCAACTGTGTTCTGATCACAAGGACTCACACTCAGGCCTTTCTTCAAGCTCCACCTACCTTCTCCATACTCTTAATGTCACAGGTGATCCCTTTCAGTATGAGATCCAGCTCAGGCCGGTACCGTAGTTGGTAGTTGTTAAACTGGATCTCCCCTTTGCTGGGCCAACCTGGGGGAGGTCTCTTATCAGTCACCCAGGGTGCCTGGCAAAGAGACAGGAAGGGAAGTGCTTTACATGGTGGCAATTCACTGAATGGTACCCATAGGACTCCTATCACAGAGCAGAAGGATAGCAGTATCCCAGCCACCTGTGGGCATCTGCAATGATGAGACTGCAACTCCCAGAAGTTTCCAATTAAAGAACCCCCATCCCTCAAGGTTTCTCTGTGGAGCTACGGAATGAAGACACCTTTTAACTTAGTGCATTCCAAGACCTGACTTCCCCCCAAACCATTTCCTATCTAAGTTTTAAGAAATTGGGTTGAGTTAGAGCACAGTGAGTTGTAGGAGAAACTTTATGATTCCATATGAAATCTCTAGACAGGGTAACGATACTCTTTTGAAGGAAACTTTTTTTTTTTTGGCTTGTCCATGGGTTCTTCTAATTTCTCCTTACCTCGTTTTCCACTTTGATGTACTCATTTATTCGTTCAACAGCCACAATGTTGGTCTCTACTTCTGACGTCATCCTCACTAACCAGTTCAGGGTTTGTGTGATCTACAGAAAATCATCTCAGGCTCAGAAACCAACTCAATTTGTCAAACCATAAGGTCAGTCCAGTAACTCTGGTGAATAACAGAGTCCTTTTGGGTGCTCCGCCATGATCACATTGGGCCTATATTAACTCCTAATGAACACAGCACCATACATAACCAGCTGGTAGCTATGTAAACCTCCTGCATATTAGTTACAAAAGATGGCCAAGTGACTCATCAAATGAACATTTAGTGAATATGTATTACTGTGACAGACATAGTCTTGGGCACCAGGAAATAATGTCTAACATGTATCCCCTAGTCATGCTGGGGATGCATATCATTTTATTGGACTCTTGATTAGAATTTTCTTGATCAGAATTAACTATTCTGTGATTTAAGAAAAACAAACATAGAAGAAGACAGTCAAAAGACTTTCTGGTTACTACTACATTTTGGAAAAGAAACTCGTTTATTCTCTTTTGACTAGAATCAAGCAAAGAGGCAAAGAGATGGGGACTATTAGGTTGCTTCATATCAAACTGCTTTCTTAACTGCCAAAGGCAACAAAGTTTTTGTCCGTTTTTCCAGATGACACTGGTACCTGCTTAGAAAGGGTAAGGAGCATGTCCATAGACTACACAATTAGTAAGAGATAGAGCCAGGGTTTGAACCTTAGTCTTCCCTACTCCCTTCTAGATCTAGAAAGGAATCAAGAGCACAAACTCCATGGTAGACTCTAGACTTGATTTAAGAATAAGTGCATTAATTTAACCGAACTCCCAACCTTAAGACTCACATTAAGTGCATTGGACAGAACAAAGCCCGCAGTGTCTCCACTTAGTGTATCTCTATAAATAACCATCATCGTAGATGCAAGGAAGACAATCAGGTTCCCAATCAGCTCCAGACGGACTGCAAGCCACCTGTAGGGCAACAGAACCAGAGAGAAAGGTGTCACTGATCTTCACCTCCTTACCCTAACCAGGAACCTACATGTTCATGGAACACTCTCAGAGGGATTGAGTTGGTAGGGCTGTGTTCTCATGAGATGCCTCAATTTGACTATACCATGTGTTCCTAAAATCTTTTAAATTAGATTTTAGAAAATAAATTGCATCTTAAAGGTACTAGAGGAGCTTGCTAACCTAAGGGAATTCTATGATTCAGTGTCTCCCATACTTGACGTATCATAAGAACCATCTGAGGTAAAAGTACACAAAATTCATGCCAAAAAAAAAAAAAAATCCTGGACTTTAACCCCCAGGAGATTCTGGTTCAGAGAGCCTAGGGTGGACTTCAGGAATCCATATTTTTAAGTAAACTCTACCCCCAATGTGGGGCTCAAACTCATGACACCAAGATCAAGAGTCATGCTCTACTGACTAAGCCCACCAGGCACTCCAGGAATCTGTATTTTTTCTTTTTGTTTGTTTCTTTAGAGAAAGAAAGAAAAAATCTTTTTTTTTTTTAATGTTTATTTTGAGAGAGACAGAGTGTGTGTGTGTGTGTGTGTGTGTGTGTGTGTGTGAGTTGGGGAGGGACAGAGAGAGGGACAGAATCCCAAGCAGGCTCTGCTCTGTTAAAGCAGACCCTGACACATGATCCATGAAATCATGACCTGAACCAAAATCAAGAGTCAGACGCTCAACTGACTGAGCCACCCAGGCACCCCAGGAATTTATATTTTTAATAAATGTTCTAAGTGATCTCTTTTGATTAGGCAGGGCAATAGAGAAAAGGGATTAGGCAATGCCATAGAGAATCCATCTGTAAGTGAAGAAAGTCAGCAGCACACGAAGGTTCAGCGTACCCTGATTTTATGATTTTAAAAAGGGAAAGAAGCTGGAGGTGGAGGTGCAAGTGGATCACAGGGTGAGATGTTGGAACTTTATGGAGAACTGAATAATGTGTAGACATCATTCATAAAATTTGACTTTCCCAAAGAAAATGAATTTAAGTTTGCACCAATAATTCTAGCACATGTACAAATAAATATGATACATATTTTACAACGGCGTCTAAATAGGATTGACTCACATGCCAATGTTCTTCTTGGAAAGTATCTAAGAAATAAAGTCTCTTTACAATCAGAGTCCTGACCGCTCCATGTTCCAGGTAATACTGAACATCATTAGCCTGCCCTTAACACTTCAAGATAATGTGGAAGCCACTCAGGAACGGTCACTTCCTGAAAAAGACCTCCAAGGACATATCCCTTCTTGCCAGGGTCTAGTGATGCTGCAGAAATGAAGGACACTCACCCTACTCAGGATTCACCTCCTTGGATAGGAGCTTTCCAGGTCTGTCATCACTGGTTTTACCTAAACATTCCATAGTCTCCTCCCTCCAATCTCGGCTTCTTTTCCACCCTACAAGCACACACTGCCCGTGGAGAATCTCACATCCGCTCTCAGGGAAGCCAACTACACATTCCCAGTTCACCCAGCACTGCTTAAGTAGCTGGGATACCGAATGCTTATCGATGTCATTGGACTTCCACCATAGCCCTATGATATATGTTGTGTTCTAGCTGCTGTAAAACAAACCAAAAATGAGATTTTCCTTAGGTCAAGGCATTTTACCCAACTTGGTAAATAGAGTAGGCACAAGCATCCAGTCTCTGACTCCAAACTTCATACTTTCTTCTACTTACACAACAAGTATGTTTGGGCACGGTGAAATTCACATCACTGGCTACACCTGCCCTCCCATAGCTAAGGTCAAACATACATAACCCTAAAGCATATATTTGGGTAAATACCCAGGGGCAGCCTCACCTGTTGGAGACAATCCAAGAGAAGACACATTTCTGGTTGGTGTCAATCCCCACCTCATTATGTTTTAGAAATCGCTGCTGATGCTCAAAGGCACGGATGACAGACAAACCTGACACAGTCTCACTGAAGTGAGAGTAGATTGGGGACCTGGTGACAGAGTCCAGACGTTTCAGCTGGCGGGAAGTAGCCACATAAAACATCTGGACCCCAAAAGTAAACAGTCAGTCACAATCACATTGCATATGCAATATCTCTTCCTCTGTGGCCGTGACCCAGCATTCTTCACCTTGATGGCCACAGCCCATATCTGAACAGGACAGAAGACTCTAGGCTCACCTCTGGCTAGGAGAATGAGGAGAGAGGCCTGGGAAGACATTGGTGGGGAACAGAGGAGGATGAAAGTGAGGAGACTATACCACTTGAGGAATTTAGTCAACCTGACCCATATTCTCCCAAAGAATCTGCATATATTGTCCAAGCAACAGTTTTTGTACTAGCTGGAAAAACTGTCTCCAAAGGGATTTTGTAAATTACAGCTGGGACTCTAGGGGTGTGGAAAGTGGAGATGGGCAGAAAATGGCCAGAGAAAGGTAGCCTGAGGATTAGATAAAAATTGAATAGTCAGGCAAGTGACCAAACTGTGCTTCAATGGTGTATGAAGGTAGTTCTGGAAATATGTGGAACGTTGAGGGTCTAAGAACTAGAACTATATGTGCAGACAGACCTTGAGACACAAGGCTGAAGGATGAGATTTAGTGGAATGCAGTTCTGCGGTGCTACTGGAGTCTGTGAGGATTTGTTGAGACCAGGAAAGAGCTGGTCATTTGAGAGTCTGGACCCAAAACGTTTTACCTAGAAGTTTCCTCAAATATCCTTCTTCTTACTGTTGGCTTATCATTAATGGCTGAGAGGTTGTTATTGAGATAGCAATGTACCTGAGGAACTTAACACAAATACCAGGGGTTGTCACCTTACCAAGAGCCACAAGGCTGCACTTAACTGCAAGTTTTTCAGAATTGTTTTCCCAACGTAAACATTTCATCCCAACGAATTCTCTCCACAGCTTGCCTCCCCTCATCACTTTTTAATATGGGCGTGGAGTCCCCTCCACTTGCTTCACTTGGCTTTCAAGCTATCTGTTCCCTCAAGAATATATTGGCATTGAGTCTAAGTCATCCATAGACACCCAGGTGAAACTAGAATTGCCCTGAAGTGAATAGAGATCTAGCTTCTGCCAAGAGACATCTCCCAGAAGATAAGCCTAAGCCAATCAAGGAAGCAGCCATAGCACAACTCTTCTAGAAGCAACCCATCACCTATCCATTACGGGGGATCTTACAGAACTTACAGACTGTCCAGAGCCAACCTCAAAGTAGTCTTAGGTCCAAACATAAATCTGCCCCATGTAAATCTTTAGTTGAGGGTTGGGGGAGGGCAGCAGCTAAAGTGAGATCTGCTGTGAACCACACACCAGTTGGTGCTGACACTCTATCTCCAGACAGTGGCCTCTGGACTCCTCAGTATGTCAATATAGGACTAAGTGACAAAGATGCTAGAGAGGACTGAATGACTAGCAATAAACAGAAGATTCTCAGGAGGGAGACTGGGCTTTTCTAAGTAGAGAGGAAAGGACACCTAGGTCTTTTTGAACCTACCTGCACAAATGTATAAATGATGCCAAGGGGAATGATGACAATGATAAAGATGGGAGTGGCCGTGCAGATCATGACAAGGGTGCTGATGATTCCCAGGAAGCACAGTATCCAGCTTCGCAGGGACAAGGGGAGGGTGTCATCCACCGTGGAGATATCCTAGGAACACATAAATTAGAAGAATGCTGTGCAAATAGGTTACTAGGACATCTTCCATCTTCCTGACTCCAGCAGGGGAATTGTTGGATTCTGGGTTACCAGTGAGTCCTTCATTTAATCATTTCACGGTATTCATTTGCAATACACTTTTCTGCTCATCCCAATAACCAATATCACTTCTGTAATTTCTTCATCTTTCTAAATCCTTCCAAACAGATATGGCAGTCACCCTTCACTTTTTTCAACAGACTTGGTAAAGGTTTTCACTCTTCTCAGTGAAATTCTCACTTGTCAAATTTATTAAACCATTCATAATCATTGTAAGCTAATAGAGACTTACAGGTAAATCCTCCTCTAACTGAGCCAATTCAATTTAACTTTACACAGGTCCTAATTCCATTCAGTACCTAGAATAGAACCTGGCACATAACAAGCATTCCTTCTGTTTGAAGCCTCCAGTCAACAAGCCTTGTCACCGACCCTTGACTGAAGAACCATCATCTACCTGGCAAGCTGTTTTCTCTGCTGAGCAGAGAGCTTCATGGGAGAGGGAGGTGGAGGTCAAATGTGACACTTGCCTGGCCAGTGTTCTAACCAAGTAACCCAGAGGTGACAAATCGGTCTTACTGCCATATTGCCTTCATGTCATGTTGAATAAATGAACAAATGGATGGATGGATGGATGGATGGATGGACGGATGGATGGATAATGGGTCAGTATACACAGGAAGTCTGATTTATACTTTGGGCTTCCCTTACTTACATTTCTTAGATTATATGGATTTTAGCATTAGTAATATGTGGGTATCAAGGTGAGTTCAAATTATCTCTGGAGTTTCCCAAACTGGGTAAGGGATAACAGTTTCCCAAGAGTCCTGAATGACTGAGTCTAATTTACCTTCTCAGAGTCCTATCAGAATGCAAATAACTATATGTCCAGGATTGGCAGAAAAAAAGAAATCCTTACCAGCTATCAGTTCTATACAGATTACTTTTTGTCCTTTACTGGCATAGATTCTCCCACTTTCTTTCTTCCGTCCTCTCCCTTCACCTCTTAAGGGCTCAGCCATCTATTCCAGAGGACTCTAAATCAAACTCTCCTTTATAGGTATGAGCTCCCTTTCCCCACAAAACTCACCATATAGTCAATGACAGTTGCCTTTTTCATGCAAAAGCAGTCAGCAAAATATGACAGTTGCCTAACTAACTCACAGTAAGGTCTCTGCATTCTTTTTCAGAAGATTAATTATATACATATAATTTTATATTTATTTATATTTATATTTATATATGGTTATACATAATACATATATAATTATACATATATATATATACTTATACATATATATGATATATATAAATATAATTAACCTGGCACATAACAAGCATTCCATGTTTTATATATTCCATATATATATACACACACACACACCCATATATTCCATGTAATAAATATATATTACAACATCAGAAAAGAGTGTGCAATCTTTGCAAAATTCCTGTGAGAAATCTCCCCATTTAAAATTGCATGCCCAGGGTGTCTAGATGGCTCAGTCGGTTAAGCATCTGACTTCAGCTCAGGTCATGATCTCGCAGTTCACGAGTTTGAGCCCTGCATCGCGCTCTGTGCTGACAGCTTGGAGCCTGGAGCCTGCTTCAGATTCTGTGTCTCCCTGCCTCTCTGCCCCTCCCCTGCTCATGCTCTGTCTCTGTCTCTCAAAAATAAGTGTTAAAAAATTTTTTAAAATAAAATAAAATTGCATGCTCTTTGGGGCATCTGGCTGGTTCAGTCAGTAGAGCATGGGACTCTTGATCTCAGGGTTGTGAGTTCAAGCCCCACATTTGGCATGGAGCCTATTTTAAAATGAAATAAAATAAAATAGGGGCACCTGGGTGGCTCAGTCAGTTAAGCGTCCATCTTCAGCTCGGGTCATGATCTCACGGCTCATGGGTTCAACCCCACATCAGGCTCTGCACTGACAGCTCAGAGCCTGGGGCCTTCTTTGGATTCTGTGTCTCCCTCCCTCTCTGCACCTCCTCTGCTCGCACTCTGTCTCTCTCTCTCAAAAATAAACATTAAAAATAAAATAAAATGGGGCGCCTGGGTGGCGCAGTCGGTTAAGCGTCCGACTTCAGCCAGGTCACAATCTCGCGGTCCGTGAGTTCGAGCCCCGCGTCAGGCTCTGGGCTGATGGCTCGGAGCCTGGAGCCTGTTTCCGATTCTGTGTCTCCCTCTCTCTCTGCCCCTCCCCCGTTCATGCTCTGTCTCTCTCTGTCCCAAAAATAAATTAAAAAAAATTAAAAATAAAAAAATAAAAATAAAATAAAATAAAATGAATAAAATAACTAAAAAACTAACATAACTAACATAACTAACCTAACAACCTAACATAAAATAGTATGTTTTTTTAGGTTTTATTAAAGAGCAGAAAACCCACTGAAGTTGTCTCCAATGACATCATGCTCACCATATTTGTCCCAGAGGAAAGTGATAAATGGAGACCAGTCAACTTGTCCAGTTTTAAAGCAGCCACGATGTCCCAGAACTTAGCTGTGGGCTGGCCTTTGTGTCTGTTCTGAGGCCAAAAAGATAAGGGTCTAAAGCTACTCAGACAGTGTGAAAAATGTGCTCCCTTTTCTACAAACAAGAAGACTAAAAGCGTGCTGATGACAGCCGACTATTAGAATTACTTGATTTCTGCCTCTGTTCCTAAAATCTCCATCTCAAATGCATGAAGAATCATGGGTTGGGTTTGGCTCTTGGAAGACAGCCATCTATGATCTTATCATTTATTAAGCATTCCAGCGCCTCATACAGTCCTTGGCTCATACCAGCTGCTTGATAAATACCGTTGAATAAATGAATGCTAAGCGTTCCCGGATCTGCAGTACATGGAAATGATGTTTTAGAACTTTATTAAAATTATAGGTGGCTCTTTTCCATAATCCAGACTTCGTTTACTTATCTTAAAGTATCAAAGATAGAATAGGAATGGAGCAGAGACCAAGCAAAGGGTTATTCTGTTTTCTCTTTTATTGACCATCATAGCCAGTGCATGTGTTTTTCCCTCTGCAGGATAATCCTTCTCATTTTTCTTCTACTGCCAACCCACCTCCCCCCACCATATCTCCCTGGCTAAGTTCCTTTTATGACTTAAGTCTCACATTTTCTGACATTTCCCGCTTTGTCACCAGGATGAGCTAGTACCTCTTTGCTCTGTCACTGTTTTGTATTCCCAGAACAGCACTATATACACATGTTGTTATTGGTTTTATTGTGTCCTGTCATACTCCTTTATTTCCTTGACTGTCTCCCTCACTAGATGGTGAGCTCTTAAAGGGCCAGAGCTTTTCATCTCTATATCCCCAGGATCCTTGGGACCTCACACAAGGTGCTCAATAAACATTTGCATGCTAAGTGGACAAAAGAACTATAACTGTATACTGTTGCCTAGGGGGATAGGAGAATTCTTTCCCTGTTCACAGTGGAAAGATCCTAAAACACAACATCGTACAGCCCTTTAGATACTTACACCAGCGAACCTGTTCACAATCCGGCCTGTGGGTGTTGTGTCAAAAAAACTCATGGGTGCTCGAAGGATATTGGTTAGCAGTTGCTTGTGAAGGATGTTTGACGCATGAGTGGAAGCACGGATACTGCAAAGATTTCCTAGGAGCACAAACACACCTAAAAATGGAACGAGTTTAGTCAGTACTTTGCACAGGGATCCCTAAAGACCTGTGCCAAGGACACGATGGCAATTTCTTCCCTGAGTCTAGACAAAGTACATAGACCAGGCAGATTCTGTAAGAGATGGCTGGTATAGCCATCAGACGTACCTTGTACCAATCCCAGAGCTCCATAGACGCCAGCTCTCAGGTCCCTCTGTGAGGCTGGATAGTTAGTGCCATTATAGGTTTTAGAGTCATTGGTCCAAGCGCTGAGCCAGAGGTTGGATCCAATATAAGCCACAGCATTGATCACATAGGCAAGGATGATGAAGAATATCAAACACAATCCCATGGCTCGCAGGTATTTCAGGTAGATGGACAGCTTCACCTGAAAAGCACCCACCCTCAGTATTAGAAATCCTAACGGCTTTTGGTGAGTAGTTACCTAGAATACCAATCACAAGGGGGAGTGGAGTCCCCTGGAAAAGTGGATAGCAGGTAGCAAAATTTGGTAATCTGTGGTCACAATTTCTGCATTAGGCCAGGATACTAATGGATGCTGAAATACAATGTGGGGTAAATAATATCACATTATTAATAATCTTCTAGATACAATTAAGAGAGAAAGACATCAAAATAGAGTGGGAGAACAACAACACAGACACAACAGAGTGGGATGGAGGGTATACTGCAGACCTTGGAGCTTGTTTTTAGTAATTTGGATTTAAATTAAGACCTTAAACTTAAGACCTTGTTTTTAAGTTTTATTAATTTGAATTGTGTGCTCTCAGATCGACTTATTAGTGTTTTCTGGCTCCAAGAATTGCATCTCAAAGCAGTTTTGTTGTTCCCTCCACATATCAGAATGGAATTACTTATGCAATGTGGTGTGAGGATGTTCACAGGAAATCTGTCATTCTTGGAAATAGGATTTGATAGAAAGCCCAAAGCCTCTACTAACATTTCAATGATGAAGCTGAAGATTTGCAAAGCACATGAGACATATCCCACCTGTAGATATGTATTCAAGTCACCAAACTTTATTTTATTTTATTTTTTTTATATATGAAATTTATTGTCAAATTGGTTTCCATACAACACCCAGTGCTCATCCCAAAAGGTGCCCTCCTCAATACCCATCACCCACCCTCTCCTCCCTCCCACCCCCCATCAACCCTCAGTTTGTTCTCAGTTTTTAACAGTCTCTTGTGCTTTGGCTCTCTCCCACTCTAACCTCTTTTTTTTTTTTTTTCCTTCCCCTCCCCCATGGGTTCCTGTTAAGTTTCTCAGGATCCACATAAGAGTGAAACCATATGGTATCTGTCTTTCTCTGTATGGCTTATTTCACTTAGCATCACACTCTCCAGTTCCATCCACGTTGCTACAAAAGGCCATATTTCATTTTTTCTCATTGCCACGTAGTATTCCATAGTGTATATAAACCACAATTTCTTTATCCATTCATCAGTTGATGGACATTTAGGCTCTTTCCATAATTTGGCTATTGTTGAGAGTGCTGCTATGAACATTGGGGTACAAGTGCCCCTATGCATCAGTACTCCTGTGTCCCTTGGATAAATTCCTAGCAGTGCTATTGCTGGGTCATAGGGTAGATCTATTTTTAATTTTCTGAGGAACCTCCACACTGCTTTCCAGAGCGGCTGCACCAATTTGCATTCCCACCAACAGTGCAAGAGGGTTCCCGTTTCTCCACATCCTCTCCAGCATCTATAGTCTCCTGATTTGTTCATTTTGGCCACTCTGCAAGTCACCAAACTTTAAAATGTTCAGATCCCAAGCCTTAGATCACCTCAAATTGTACTTTTTTTTTTTTTTTAATTTTTTTTCTTTCAACGTTTATTTATTTTTGGGACAGAGAGAGACAGAGCATGAACGGGGGAGGAGCAGAGAGAGAGGGAGACACAGAATTGGAAACAGGCTCCAGGCTCTGAGCCATCAGCCCAGAGCCTGATGCGGGGCTCGAACTCACGGACCGCAAGATCGTGACCTGGCTGAAGTCGGACGCTTAACCGACTGCGCCACCCAGGCGCCCCTCAAATTGTACTTTTTATTGTGGCCTTCACCTTTCCAGTATGTATGAATTCCTTCTTAATTAGTTTTTGTCCTTTGACTAGTTCTTCCTCCTCCTTCAGGGTATTCACATTCCGAGTTTTCAAAGACTTTTTTAGGGATTTCCGGTGCCTGCTACTGGACCTAGAACTGAGAAAGAGAGAGGAGGAAAGCATTCTTGAGGACGCGCAGATGCATCCGGGGGGGTCTTGTTGCAAGCAGATGTCACAGTCGCTCTGCTAACATCAAAGTGCATTTCAGAACACATGGCCATAGAGAAACACCCCACCCCGCCCCTGCTCTCCGTACAAAGAAACAAAGGAAGAGCTGGGAGTGTCCCCGGTGTCCACTCCCTCAGGACAAGCCCACAGAGAAAAGGGAATGATCAGATGGAAATATGGAAGTGATGACGAGGGCTGCCAGCTGAATAGATGACCAACCTGTGACTAAGTGTTCGATGAAGGCTGTTCTCTCTTCTCATGGTCAAGGAGGCCACCTCCTCAGGGATTTCCTCCACACTGGGCATCAGCCCACAGTCATCTTCTTCACTGTCCTCATTGACTAGGAGACACATCAAAGGTTAGGGAGGTGGCGACATAGAGCTGTCTGAATTCTATGAACAAGGAAGAGTTCTTTCTGATCTAGCTGGCCCTTCAGCAAGAGACCACAAATGTATACACGGGCTGGAATATTTTGCTTCAGAAATATTACTTATTAGTATCTCTAATAGCTGAGAAATACAAGGATAAAGGAGAGATGAGTTAATGTTCTAGTGGAAGAGAAAATGGTAAAAAGGAGACAAATATTCCCAGAAGCTTCTCAGTTCTTTTGCAGCAAGGAAAGAATTTTTAAGGTTATAGTAGATAAGCAGAAGAGTCCTAATTCCCAGAATTTACTAGAAAGGGGAGTATAAATTAAAAATGCTCTTCTTGAAATTCAAATAACTTTACAAACTTTTGTAAATTTAAAACACTTTAAAAACATATGCTGCAAATGAAGAATACATTTTTAAAATTGAAAATAAAAGAAGTAAAATGTAAAACAGCCTGGACATCAGTGGCAATGGTAAAGACCTCTGGAAATTGATAACTCCATAAAGCAGTGAGAATACTGGCAAAATATTGTTAAACATTTTTCCTAACTCTGGAATTAACCAAAGGCTTGCAACAATCCAAGGAACATTTATTTAAGAAAAATGGCTAAATCCCAGTAAGAACAATAAGCTTTGTGATAGTTTAATTTACCCCCAATCCTCTCTCCTCAGATCCGCTGTAGCCTAGAATACTAATAGCCTCACAAACATGGTAGCCACAAATAGCAGCAGCCTCCTGGCTGCTGGAGGGAACAGAAAGTGTTCAAAATTCTCCCAAAGCCTCATCCTGTAACTGAACTCAAGTCTGTCTGCCCAACATGCAGCAAAGACCATCACTGAGCCATTGAGTATAAAGTAAGGAAAGGGTTTGAGAGGATGCCAAAAAGACAGGAGGGCAAGCTTCACATTTGCCTCCACAAAGTAGAGTCAAGAACATTTAAGGGCAAATGAAAAAGGCCTGGGTAAAGAGTTGTAGTTGTGCTTACTAAGTCCCACTAACCCTTTGGTTACCGATTTCAACCCCTAGAGAACCATCATTATTTGACCTGTCTGGCAGTTCCCTAGAAAACCCCATGCACAGGGCTTGTCTTTGTTGGACCTGACTTGGATTCAGCAATCGGCAACAATTGTGTAACATCACAGCTGCCTGAGATGGCGATAACAGTTGGGGCAAATAAGTAGCTAAACAAAAACTTAAAAGGAAAAGCTGGGGAATAAGATATCCTTAGGGAGCTTTGATATCTTTAATATACCCCCTGGCAATCTAGAATGCCATACACATGGGCAGGGCTGCACACATGCTCCAGAGAGACTGGAGAAGGCCCTACTCTCACCTCTGGCTACTCTGGGCAAGCAAGAAACAAAAGGTGAAGCAGAATTGTAAATTGCCTACTGGAGTGTTAAGGACACGCCCCCGCCGCTGCCGCCGCCGCCGCCGCTGCCCACCACTCTCACACACACACACACACAAAGCCTCTCAGAAAAGCCTGAGTGACTTATTGGTTCCAGGCCCTTAAAGAAATCTCTAATCATTAGCTGACCACCCAAGCAGAGACTTCATTGGCCACACACGACAAAGAATGCAGATTTAGTAAGAATTAGTTAAGGAAATTAAACAGGAGGAACAACAAACCCTGGCAGAGGAAAAATCTTATTTCCAGAGTTGTATTATTTAAAGTGACCAGTTTTCAACAAAAAATTGTGAGACACGCAAAGGAAGAAAGCATGGGACCATACACAGGAAAAAAAAGCAGTCAACAGAAACTGTACCTAGGGAAGCACAGGCATTGGGCTTACCAGAGAAAGACTTTAAGTCAACTATTATAAATATGTTCAAAGAACAAAAGAAAACCATGTCTAAAGATCTAAAGTATGAAAATGAGTTCTTATCAAATAGAGAACATCAAAACAGATCAAATTAAGAAAAAAATAGAAATTCTAGAAAAGTACAGTAACTAAAATGAAAAATCCATTAGAAAGACTCAACAGATTTACTAAAGAGATTAAGTGTGTGACTTAATCCAATCAACCATCTCAGCACAAAAGCTGCCAGCTTGGACTGTAGGGGACAGAGGCAGGACTAAATGAAGGAATATGGTCAGACTTCTAGGATTCTACAGGCAGAAAACGTACCAATAGAACTATCCAGCCGTGAACATGTGCTATCCTTCAAGAAAAGGGAAAAATGACCCTGGGGTTGACTACCCCTCAGTTCCAGAGGGTGGAACCACCAGCCCAGGTTGAGCCTAAAGAACAGATAGCATCAGACCAAACAAGACTATCATCAAACCTTAAAATCTGGTGGAATTGACCCTGCTAGATTTGGGATTTGCTTGGGATTCATGACCATCTTTCCTTTTTGGAATGGGAATGTCTATCCTAATGCTGGTCTTACCACTGAAGCAGATAATCTGTCTGGTTTTATAGCTTGTCAGATGGAGAGGAGTTTTGCCCCAAGACTCTGGGTCTCACTCACAACTGATTTGAGTGAGGAGAGGATAAAATTTGGGACTTCAAATTGACATTTGGAGGAGATTTTGGACTTCGAGGAGATACTGGAATGATTAACACATTGGGGATGCTGGGATGGTGTGAATGTATTTTGGACACAAAAAAGATGTGAATTTGGGGATGCCAGAGAATAGACATGATAGAGTGACTTGTGTCCCCCACCAAATCCATATGTTGACATCCTAACCTCCACTACCTCAGAATGTGACTTTATTTGGAAATAGGATCATTGTAGATGTAATTAGTTAAGATGAGGTCAGACTGGAGTGGGATGAGCCCCTAATGCATTATGTCTGATGTTTTTATAAAAAGGGGAAACTTGGGATTGATGCACACAAGGGAGAATAGCATGTGAGGATGAAGGCAGAGATCGATGTGATGGGTCTTCAAACCAAAAATGCCAAAGATTGTCAACAAACCCCCAGAAGCTAGGAGAGAGTCCTGGAACATGTTCTTCCCTGTCGCCTTCGGAAGGAACCAATCCTATGGATTGATTTTGGACTTCTAGCGTCCAGAACCATGAGACAATAAATGTCTGTTGTTTGAGCCCGTTTGTAGTGTTTTGTTATGGCAGCTAATTAAGAAAATAGTATACAATTTTTAAAAAGGGGGGGTTGCACCTGGGTGGCTTAGTTGGTTAAGCGACCGACCGGCTCAGGTCATGATCTCACTGTTCATGGGTTTGAGCCCCATGTCAGACTCTGTGCTGACAGCTCAGAACCTGGAGCCTGCTTTGGATTCTGTGTCTCCCCCCCTCTCTGCCCCTCCCCTGCTCACACTCTGTCTCTCTCAAAAATAAATAGGGGCACCTGGGTGGCTCAGTCGGTTGAGTGTCCGACTTCAGCTCAGGTCACGATCTCACGGTTTGTGAGTTCGAGCCCCGCGTCGGGCTCTGGGCTGATGGCTCGGAGCCTGGAGCCTGCTTCCGATTCTGTGTCTCCCTCTCTCTCTGCCCCTCCCCCATTTATGCTCTGTCTCTCTCTGTCTCAAAAATAAATAAACATTAAAAAACATTAAAAAAAATAAATAAAATACTTTAAAAAAGAAAGAAAATGATAAACCAAGCCAATATTGACACAGGTCACCCTTGCCCTCCTGCCTTTCCCTTCATTCTACCATGTCATGGTCTACCCCTTGCCAACAACAACAGCATGCCAGGCATCGCTCAGAAATAATTGCTCAATGTTTACCTTGATTGACAAAGGCTTGATGAGCTGTTTTACAAACTGACCTTTACATAGAGGATAGGATTCTTCAAAGGGGCCATCTGGAAACTCAGATCATGGCAGAATCCATGAAACTCAGATCGCGGCAAAAAAAAGTCTAGACTTAGCATAAGAAAACTACCCAGGCACCTCATGTTGATGTAGTTGAGCAATAACTTAAGGGAATAAAGCATCTGACACTGCCCTTTGGCTTGGGGCCTTCACTGCCCAGGCAGGTGATTTTTGCTTTCTCCAGGCCAGTGCCTGGAGCACGTAAAGGCTAATGAAAAGTTCCGACTTCTTCCTTTCTGCTGGTTCCCAGTGCCCCTGCCCCAGTCTCCTGGGATAGCTCCCAACCCTGTCACCCATATCATCCTGTTCTTTGCTCCTGTCCTACCCCTCCAACACTTGACAGTTTATCACTCCTATCCTGTCCTGCCCTGAGCAGTTTTCAACAAAAAATTGTGAGACACGCAAAGGAAGAAAGCATGGGACCATACACAGGAAAAAAAGCAGTCAACAGAAACTGTACCTAGGGAAGCACAGGCACTGGGTTTACCAGAGAAAGACTTTAAATCAACTATTATAAATATGTTCAAAGAACAAAAGAAAACCATGTCTAAAGACTTACTACTTACAGACTTTATGGTTCAGGCTTTTCTTTCCATCTCTTGTGCTCCCTGGGGTGGGTTTGAACCATCATGTGTCCTGACCTCAAGGCCTGAATGAGTTCTCACTTGCAGGCTCTGTAACTACCTCCTTTTCTGACTGACTTGTGGAATGCACCCTTCAGATCTTGCTTTCTAAGGCTTGACCTACTGCTGGTGACTGCTACCCAAAGCAGATATCCAGAACTATGTGCAGGACTACTACTGGCAGATTCTTGGGAAGGTCCCCAGGGATCAGGGCTCCATTGCTGACTAGAGCTAATCGATGACCCCAATGGTGGTGGTATTAGGGGCTATTCCTGTGGTGTACTGTGAGACCATGCAACTGCACGATTCTTCCTGGTTCGAAACACCCAGTGGTTTTTGGTATATTGGTCAAGATGCCCTTTGTTAGGCCTTATCAAGAATGTTTCAGTATACTATTAGTACCAGTCTATGAAGCTGTCCAGGAAGTGGTTTTAGCGGATTTAGGGTAGGTGGGGTGGGATGTGTGATTTGAGTCAACAGAAGTACAGCATCCTTAAAAGGGGGTGCCTGATGGTACTAGTCTTTCTTCCACAGGGACTAATCACCCCAAATCTTCAGTCATACCCTTCTAAAGAGTGTTCTTCGATTGCATGGTGGAGACGAGCTGAGCAGGATGAGCCCCTAGTTTGGCTCAGGCACAGAATTTCTGTGTCTGTGTTTCTTTACAGAGACATAAAATACAGAAAGAATAGATTTTGGATCTCTGGATAATTCACTTCCAAATTGAACTCACTGGATACTGCATAGTTCAGGCAGTCAGTATCAGTTTATCACTTCTACCCTTCCCATACCCAAGCTTTATCCTGTTCCAGTCCTCCTTACATACCTGTGGCCTCTCCTTCAAGACCCGTCTGTTTTTTGGATGTCTTCAGAATCTTAGCAAACAATCCTTTCTTGGCCAGCAGAGTGCTGTAGGATCCCTTCTCCAGGATGGTGCCATTCCCCAGCACCACAATCTCATCCACTTGGGGAAGAAAGTGAATGCTATGTGTAATCAAGAGTCGAGTCTGGAAAAAACAACAGTAAGTAGTGCCACCACCTTCCTTCTGTGAGCCCCTCTGTCCACCACCATCCTTGGCTTGCTCTTAAAAAGGAAAGGAAGTAACTTCTTCCTGCCAACTATGAGTAGCTAACTTCCAACTACCCAGAATGTCTATTGACTTCTTTGGCTTGCTCTGGGGGTGGGAGGGAAGGAAAAAACAGTCATTTAAATTCATTTTAGGGCTCTGTTTCAAAACGTAGCCCTGAACACTTGACCTCTTTTACTTTTTTCTTTCCTTCCCAGTGCCTCATCCTAACACCAGACCCTATGTGTAAGGGGAGACTCTGGTCCTCGTGGATATATTGTTATTTGCCTGTAGTGACAGCAAGGTTTGCCCTACACACATTCTTCCAGCTTCCTGAGAGCTTAGGAATGTCACTTGAGATCCAAGCCTATCAATATAACAGATGCATCCTAAACTAAGGAAATAACTAGCTAATTTCCCCTTCTACTAACCAGCTAACCAACTGAACTTGAGAGCAAGGACAGACCTTTTCATCTGTGCACGCCCAGTCTTTGCAACAAACCAGGCACAGGGTGGTATATAGTTCATGAATGAATGGAGCCAAAGGCCATTCGGACAGGAGACAGAACCAGAAATAGAAGGGAGAATGAGTTCCTGTTGACTTACTGATCCAAGAGAAGCAAAGGGCCTCAGGGGGACAGCAGCCCACCTACCCTGACTAGCAGCAATCAAGAAGTCTTGAAGGGAACCGGCCACAGATGGAGTTTTACTGCCCAATACTGAGGGAGATGTTACTGTCGGCCCTCATTGTACACTTGCTGTTGGTGAGGGACACATTCAAACCCACAAAGGGCTCTGCCAGCACCTCCCCCATTCAGCCCACTGTGTCAGGGCAAATGGGCTGACTTGCCCACGGTAAGGAAAGTCTAGCCTTCACCTACCACTAGCTCTAATGACTTGCTCTGGCCACTTTATCTGTACTCTCTCATGGGGGCATTGTGAAAGTCCAATGAGGCATCGCAATCAAAGTGCTTACGCAGGCCTGGGGCATCATGAAAACACAAAAAAATGTTAGTTCTATTTTATCCCCACATTCCCACATCCTGCAAGGGTTCCAGGAAAGTGCCTTTTCAGAGCAGAGCTCTAAAACCTGTGGGATGACCTATGTCCCACCAGCAAGGTGAATTATTGGGTCCTCTGGGATGTTTTCTGACTCCAACCAATTTTCCGACACCAGCTAGGTGTTCAGCGATTCAATTCTGACACTGAGCACCTAGAATTAGCACAAACCCCACAGCTGAAGGGCTTGGTCCTATGAGACTGACTGACTTCAGAGGCAATTTGCATGACTTGGGCCACCCTTACTTCCAACCAACTAGCCATAAAGCCCCTTTCTCATGATCAGTAGTTTATTAGAATGGCTCATCGATCTCCAGAACACACTTTACTTGTTTGTTGGTTTATCATAAAGAATACAATTCAAGAACAGTCAACAGAAGAAATGCGGAGGGCAGGCTATGGGGGTGTGGGACTCACCTGTGGAGCTTCCATGCCCACAGCCTCCCTCTCAGCACCTTAATGTGTTCACCAACCCAGAAGCCCTCTGGATCCCACTGCTCACAAATTTTTATAATCCAATCTTCAGCCCTTGCTTCCTTCCCCAGAGGCCTGAAAGTTCCAACCCACCCATCACTTGGGCTTTCTCACTCTCTTTTTTAAAGTTTGTTTGTTTGTTTATGGGAGAGAGAGAGAGAGAGCGCACTCACCAGCGAGCATGGTGGGGAGGAGCAGAAAGAGAGAGGAGCACAGAGGATCTGAAGTAGGCTCTGCGCTGACAGCAGAGAGACTGATGCAGGGCTCGAACTCATGGGCTATGAGATCATAACCTGAGCCAAAGTCAGACACTTAACTGACTGAGCCACCCAGGTGCCCCACTTGGGCTTTCTCTTGAACAACCCAGTCCTGAGGCTATCTAGGGGCTGCACCTTAAGTCTCTCTCTAGGCTTATGAACAAAAAACACTCCTAGTATTACTCAGGAAATTCCAAGTGTTCGGAGCTCTGTGTCAGGAACTGGGGGCAAAGACCAAATATAATCTTGTTATACCACAGATCTCAGAGTGCTTTCCATCACAACCAATCATCCTAGGAGGATCAATGTCATCGGAGCCACAGAATAAGGTTCAAATTAGTCAGTTCTAGCATAAGCTATGACCTCAAGATGGGAGCTTTCATGGGTCATCTCCTGAAAGACCAGTCTGACACTGTATCTCCTCAGCAGCCTTGGTGGTATGTTGGGGGATAGGGGAGGTAAGTACATGCTTCAGGACAGCAACAGTCCTAGGAGTTATGTCCCCCAATCCCTACCCTGATGTCTTCATTGCTTTAAGTAATTTCTCACCTTGCCTTTCAATAGGCCATTGGGACCCAAGACCTTATTGAAAATATGTTTTCCCACATGAGCATCCACGGCTGACAGGGGGTCATCCAGAACATAGATGTCTGAATTTTGATAGGTAGCTCTGGCCAGGCTAATCCGCTGCTTCTGACCCCCACTGAGATTTATACCCTGAAGAAGAAAATAATTTCTATTAAGCACTACTCCACAGTCCCACCTTCACAGAGACTATTATGGAGGGAAAAGGAAGAGATTTACTTCAATAAGGTATCAAGGGATTTAAAACCTTCTAAGTTCCTCTATACAAATCAATAACTTTGATTCAAATAAATTACTTCAGGCCCAATGATGAAACGTATGCCAAAATGACCATTTTCTATGAGATGATTTACTTATTAATTTTGTTTCCTGCCCCATGGGAATGTGGAGCTGCACCAGGGCAGATTTTCCCTATTTTTATTCATGGTTGTAACTCCAGCGCTTAAAATGCTGTGTGGTACATAGTAATTACTCAATAAGTGTATTTGAAATAGTGAACAAAATCATTCTAGAGCTGTATCTTCATTAATCTTCTAGTAGCTGAAGATTCTTGTCCCTCAAAGACTGCTCTATTCATTGTTAGTAATAGGAAAGAAGGTTGAAAACATCCTAAATATGTAGGCATCGGGAATTTCTAAATCAATTACACTCTAACCATATAATGGATACAATACGGTCGTTAACAATGTATTTTTTAAAAAGGCATTTAATAACCTGAGAAAGTCACACTAAATTTCTAAGGATTTGAAGCAGAGTAGTAGAACCTTTCTCCAGGCCTCACTAGCATCCAGAAGTTGAGTCAGGACACCTAAGCTCCGGTCCTGCGTCTGCTCCTCCACCTGCGAGGTCATCCTTGGGCCAGGCTCTGGTTAGTTAGCCTCTCTGGTCCTAGCCTCATCAGCTTTCTTTAAAAAAAATTTTTTTGGTGGGGCGCCTGGGTGGCTCAGTCAGTTAAGTGTCCGACTTCGGCTCAGGTCATGATCTCACGGTTTGTGGGTTCAAGCCTCGCATTGGGCTCTGTGCTGTCAATTCAGAGCCTGGTGCTTGCTTCGGATTCTGTGTCTCCCTCTCTCTCTGCCTCTTCTCCACTCATGCTGTGTCTCTCTCAAAAAATGAATAAACGTTAAAAAAATTTAAAAAAATAAAATTAAATAAATTTTTTAATGTTTTTATTTATTTTTGAGAGAGAGATACAAAGCGTGAGTGGGGGAGGGGCAGAGAGAGAGAGGAGACACAGAATCCCAAATGGGCGTCAGGATCTGAGCCATCAGCACAGAGCCTGATGCAGGGCTTGATCTCACAAACCAGGAGATCATGACCTGAGCTGAAGTTGGATGCTTATACAACTGAGCCAGCCAAGTGTCCCTCGTGTTTTCTGGTATTTGTTCCAAGCTGACTACCAAAATTGGTCAGCTCTTTTACTCCCATGTACTTCTTCACCGTCCTTGCTCCCCGCCACCCCCTCCCCCCACTACTATTTCTTCACCCTTCAAGGTCCCTTGGTGTCCCAAGTACCTTCTCTCCAATCTCGGCCAGGTCTCCTCCGGGCAGCACTTCCAAGTCTGGGAGGAGGGCACAGGCCTCCAGAACCTGCTGGTATTTCTTTTCATCCAACTCGGATCCAAAAAGGATGTTGTCCTTTAAGGTGCCATTCTGGATCCAGGATTGCTGTGGGACATAGGCTATAGTGCCCTAGATGGGAAGGACCAGACCACGGGACAGTTATACCTCCAGAAATGCAGGGCTGAAGGAGGGAGTGGCAGCATGGGGAAGGAAAAACAGAACTTAGATTTTAAAAAATGAATGTCAGGCTGACTGAGCACCTAATATGTATAAAGCGCTTGTATTTATTGCACCAGCCAGGGAGAAACATTCAATATCCTGTTCACCACTTAAATACTTCTCCCTACTCTCTATTTCACTATCACTTTCTAGCCATGATCCTGAAAATTAGAGGAAGAAACACATGCTGCTTCTAGAACAGGAAACTCACTGGGATTGACTCAAACCCTAAGACCACCAGAGGGCTAACACAGGGGTGATGGTATAGAGATTGTAGGAAGAACCAAGAGATTTGAACGAGGGCGCCAGGCTGATGCATGAAGCAGATCATGTCCAGAGAGGAAGCCTGACAAAGGCCTGTGTTTGAGAATGAACTCAGTGATGAGTTGGCAAGAAAAAGCTTTCTCATACACCTGAAACTAACATAACATCTTGTGCCAACTATACTCAAAATTTTTTTGAAAAAAATTGTATTAAAAAAATAAATAGTAATTTATGATAACAAAAAAGGAAGTATGGTATGATAAGTTTTTATTATTTAAAAAGTTAAACAGAAGTCAAAACTTGACTTGAGGCTAGAACCAATTTAAATATTAATGTTAAATCATTACCACAAATTTCCAATGTGAACTTCTTTGAGTGTTAAAGTCATTTGAAACGAAAATGCCATTTTAAAAAAATAATTTAGAAGACACTCAGCAGTTTTGTGTCAGTTTAAAGGAGAAGTGTGTGTGTGTGTGTGTGTGTGTGTGTGTGTGTGTGTGTATGCACACACACACTTTTATAAAAGAGAATTATGTTTAGAGGTAATTTTAAAATAATCTTCTTTTAGCCTGTGTATCCCAGTATCTATGGGGGCAAAGTGACATGCCAATTCAAAATTGACTTCTAGGGGCACCTGGGTGGCTCAATCGGTTAAGTGTCCAACTTCGGCTCAGGTCACAATCTTGCAGTTGGTGAGTTTGAGCCCTGTGTCGGCTCTGTGCTGACAGCTCAGAGCCTGGAGCCTGCTTTGGATTCTGTGTCTTCCTCTCTCTCTGCCCCTCCCCCACTAGTGCTCTGTTTCTCTCTCGCTCGCTCTCAAAAATAAACATTTAAAAAAATTTTTAAATTCAAAATTGACTTCTAAAGGACTAAATAAAGAAATGTTCCAAGTGAACAAAAAGAAGAAGTTAGGAAACAGTTAAATCAGTAGCATCTGCTCCGTTATATCTCATATTATTTAATGTAAATTGGCTCATGAGGGATTGGTAAATCAGGGAATAAGGTCAGTATAATGTGGAAGAAGCATTAGTTTTTAATTTTCTGAGCATCTCAGTGTCAAGCAGTCAGGGGCAAGCTTTCCCATAATTAGAAAGAAATGGTTAGCAATATATGAAGATCTTAAGGAAAAAAACCTAAAAAATCTACAGACACGTGGGGTGTTTTTTTTTGGTGTAAGTAGTGGCTGGTTAAGTGATTCCAAGTACTTATAAGTTCCTCTAAATTGAACTCTCTGGGGAAGCTGAGAGTGCTCATGGAGATGCTATGAAAAGATTTCTTCTGGGTTAAAAAATATATAATTGACAATGATGTCTACACCCTGTATCAAATTTTTGAGCAAGTAAAGTCAAAGACCAAACTCTCAGAGGAGGAAGAGGAAATCGGGAGTCTAAAGCTACATGTGATGCTCAGTGTAATTGCCAGTGGGGATTTTACAGTGCTGCTGTTTTAATTGTTATTGGTTTTGTTGGTACGCTAGTTACAAAGTTATGTCAGTTTTTTTTAATTATTATTTTTGAGAGAGAGAGAGAGAGAGAGAGAGAGAGAGAGAGAGAAAGCACACAAACACATACACGTGGGAAGGGGCAGAGAGAAGGGGAGAGAGAACCCTAAGCAGGCTCCACACTGTCACAGAGAACCCAACTCAGGCTTCAAGCCCACAAACTGAAATCATGACCTGAGCTGAAATCAAGTATTGGACACTTAACCAACTGAGCCACCCAGTTGCCGCAGGTATGTAAGTTTTTAATGATGCTTTTAGAAACCTAGATGTAGCAGAATTGCCTATACTTTGAAGGAAGAGATCTCTGTTAAACAGTTTTCAAACTTTAGTATGCATAGGACCTCATTAAACATGCAGATTTTTAGAATCTACCCCCAGAGTCTGATTATATGTGTGGGGTGGCGCAAAGAATCTGCACTTTACAAGTCTACCTAACGTCTCCAAGACTGCATCTACAGCAAAACAACAACAGTGGTCATCAGATTCTAGTCCTCAGTGCATTCTCCAAAATGAGAAAGCAGTGCTCAGTGGCCCACATCTCAAGGTCAGAACTCTTTTCCTTAGCATCCCCTCTCACCTTGATGGTGATGTGCCCGTGGACATTTTCCATTTCTCCCAGCATGGCTGACACTAAGGAAGACTTCCCAGAGCCCACAGTGCCCACCACAGCCACCAATTGGCCTGGCATAATGTCCAGGTTCACACTGAAAAGAAAGAAGTGTATTTGGTTTTTAAGTGTCTATTTTAAGAGAAAGTGAGTGAGCGAGCGAGCATGGGGAAGGGGCAGAAAGAGAGTAAGAGGGAATCCCAAGCAGGCTCTGCACTGTCAGGACCAAGCCCGGTGCAGGGCTCGGTCCCATGAATTGTGTGACCATGACCTGTGCTGAAATCAAGAGTCAGACGCTTTACTGACTGAGTCACCCAGGCGCCTCAAGAGAAGTGTATTTAAAGGAGGTGAGGGGTGTTTTTCAAGAGTAGTTCAGGCCACTTCTCAGACCATTCATAAGAAGTCTCGTATTAGATTTTCCCTCAAGATTGGAAAATTTGTCTTGGATATAGAAGACTCTGAAGTGCTTCTTTAATACGTTTTTTATAAGCTCAAAAGGGCTAGAGAATGAGCCCTAACTTATCCAACTGTCTATAAGCTGTTTGTGCCAAATGTAGGTTTCAACTGGGAAAATTCTCTTAGCACCAACATGGTACCATTGAACAAGAACTTAATGGGAGCTTAGAGACCTGAGTTCAAGTCTCATCTTTGCCACTGCTGAACTATATGATCTTGGAAAGCCACATCCTCTGGACTCTCATTTATGAACTAATAGGGTTGGAATAGATCAGGGTTTCCCAAACTTGGCTATTTAATGAGAATGGCCATTCAATGGAACACTTGCTGGAAGCACAGAACACCTTCCCCTCTCCTGGAGATTTGGCTGTGTCTAACTAGGGAGGGACACACACTGGGCAGGGCTCCTCGAAACTCTGTGCCCACCCTGTTTTTGAGTCCCTAGTATATTAAGAACATCAGGAACTTGTTCACAGTCTTTCTGAAACTGCCCTTTGCTAGTGTAAGTCTAAAAGAAGTTCAGTACAAAGTGGGAGCTGTGTCCAGCCTCTTCTCTGCAAAGGGAGGCTTTCAGGTTGGGAAGGTCCAGAGGAGGGGCTTCTGGCCTGATAGCATCCCGGGGCAAGCTCCAGAATCTATATGAAAGGCTGTAGGAATAGAAGTGTGGGAAGACCCAGGTGTAACAGGGAGAAGATAAGGTGTGCTGGGTTGGGAACAAAGATGTGGCCTGCTCAGGCTTCCTGGTATATTATGTGTGCTACGTTCAGTGGAGTTGGGTATATACTGTCTATCTGACCCTGTATAGGCCACGTGTTCTCCTATCCAGACATACCTATGGTAAAGTTCAATTTATAAATTAGGCCCAGTAAGAGATTAACAACAATAACTAGTAAAATAGAACAATTATAACAATAAACTGTAATGAAAGATATGTGAATGGGGTCTTAACTCTCATTGACTGTCCTGCACTCACCCTTCTGATGATGCAAGATGATACAATGCCTACGTGGAGAGATGAAGGGAGGTGAATGATGGGAGCACTGTGACCTACATTAGGCTACTATTGACGTGACCATTCGTCAGGAGGAGGATCATCTGCTTCCACACAGAGGTTGACTGCAGGTAACCGAAACCAAGGAAAGCAAAACTGCAGAAGAGGAACTACTAGACAAGCAACAGCGTGGCAAGAAAGGGTTGGCTTAGGGCAGAGGAGGTGGGAGGTGGGAATGGGTTAGTTAGATGTAAAACTCCAGATCTCAAGTTTAATCTTTGTAGAGGCAGCTCCTGTTGTCCACTTTGGGGAAAGAAGCCATATTCTTGATTACTGTTCTTAAATGAACAAACGAACTTAAATTGGTTTCAGGCTTTGGTGTGTATCCTTTATCATACCCAGAGACCTAGGCCACTTGCTGCACTACCTCCATCCACAATCTGGAGAACAAAGTTCTTCCTGGGTTCTTAGCTGGAGCCCACAGTCCCACAGTAAGACAGCCTGGTGGCAGGTGCACTTCCGGGGAAAGAGGCTCGGGAGTTTTGCTGTCCGCTGGTCTCCCCAGGGTTTCAGCCTGCACTGAAATCTAACGGAATGTGTGCACATTGTCCATATTTCATGTGCCCTAGTGGTTGGAATTTTCCAGTAACAGGACTGGCAAGGAGAAGCCTAAAGAACAGCAGGCTGGGGGGCGCCTGGGTGGCGCAGTCGGTTAAGCGTCCGACTTCAGCCAGGTCACGATCTCGCGGTCCATGAGTTCGAGCCCCGCGTCGGGCTCTGGGCTGATGGCTCAGAGCCTGGAGCCTGTTTCCGATTCTGTGTCTCCCTCTCTCTCTGCCCCTCCCCCGTTCATGCTCTGTCTCTCTCTGTCCCAAAAATAAATAAACTTTAAAAAAAAAAAAAAAAAAAAAAAAAAAAAAAAAAAAAAAGAACAGCAGGCTGGACAGGAGGCAACTCACTCTCGAATTGTGGCTTCCAGATCCCGGTCCCAGGTAAAGGAGGCCTCTGAAAACTGCACAGCTTTTTCTGTTGAGAAAAAGGCCCTCTCTTTTAGTCAGATGTAGGTCCTCATGTATCTGTCTGCCCCTTCTCAGCCCTCCTGCGTCCCTCCTTCAGCAGATCCCAAGATCACCTATCAGTGCTGGCTCCTACATTAACAGGAGGCAGAGGAAATTTCCCCTGGTGAGACCAAAAGTGGCCTGCAAACAAAAGCGGTTCTGGTTGAATTCCCAAGCCTGTTAGCCAGATTCCTGACCTGCAGACACCTCTGCAATGTCTGCCTCTGGGCACATTCTCACACCCTCTGTTGCCTCATGTCCTGGTAAAAATTCTACCTCTATATACAAACCTGGTCACTCCCTGGATTCCAGGTCCACAGGTCCCTCTGGCTGTGTCTGCCCCCCAATCCTTAGATCTTCAGACCTTGCAAATGTTCTTTCACTCCAGCCTACTTTCCCCAAGTTCCCATGGTTGGCTCCATCTTGACTTCTCTTTTCTAGATCTTTTGCAGGATTCCCTGCTTATCCTCAGACTATGGTTTAGCCATCTGGCTAAGCAACCTATTCTAAATGAAAATGTCACTTAAGTAAAAATAGTAAGCTTGTTATGCAAATGTAGGTTAAAGTAAATCCCTTAGCTCTCCCTTTCAATCAGTTTGCTGCCCCTAAGCCCTCCTATGTCAAAGTTCTGGTGCCAGCACTGTGAATAAGATGGGGAAGCAACTTCCGAATTCATTACCAAAATTGTACTCATGTCGAATGGCGGATGTGTCCAACTCATCCCCTCCCAAGTACTTTTCTAGCCGTTCTGTGGAAACGCTGGCCTAGAGGGGGACACAAAGGATCTCAAGAATAAAAAATCCAACGACAAGCACAAGCAGGGAGAGGATTTTGACTTTGTCATCAGCCCTGGATGTGGAAGCAGAGAGTCAACCTGCCAGGCCTCTTGCCGATGGTTTACCATTTGCTACATCTGGAACCTCTGGACACCCCCATAGACTCAGCCACATTTCAGCCCTGGAAGACATCCCTCTCTGCACAGAGGGAAATTAAGATGCTGTTTCAGCCCCTTAGAAAACTTGTGGTGCTGGGGTCAACTCTATTGCCATCTCTTCAATCTTTGGACCCAGTTCCAGAAACTGTCTTCTGCCTTCTTCTAAGACAAAATCCTAATTTCTATCTGCTTTTGGTAACTGGGCCCCTGGTGTGCTCTTCTTTAATGGAGTCTATGCCTTGGTCCTGCCCAGTGTCCTAACTGAGCCACTACTGGGACCCTTTATACAGGAATTGGCCATGGCACCACAGTGACCTTAGAAAACTCCACACAGGCCAAGTTTAAACTGCAGCTGACCTAAGCATTGGCAGAACACCCTGTGGTCTCCTGAAACATAAGAACTGGGGAGAGATCCTAGGAGCTTTTACAAGGACCTTTCTCACTTGCCTGTTTTCAGGGAGCCTGTCAGAGAGATCGTTTCTCATTACCACCTGGGTTCTGATGAAAGCGTGGACTTTCTGTCTTGCCTTTCCTTTGAGTGCAGTTGCAGGCTACAAAACCACTCAGCTGTTGCATGGATCCGCCCCTCAGAAACAGAGTGCCTCGTTTACATTATCATGTAATGCCTGTGTTACATTATCATCTGGCCCCTTTTGTTTCACAGTCACCCCGCGAGATAGGGAAGGCAGGGAGCAGACACCTTTGCTGATCTTGCTCTTGCAATTTATGTACTAAGCTATTGGAGTCTAGAAAGAGCATACTGTTTCTTTATCAGCCAAACCTGTCAGCCTTTCTTAACCCCCTCTAGGGTAGCGAGGTCTGAAACTCATCCTTCCTATGGTCTGAGCGGTCTAAAGCATGCCACCCTTAGTGTAAGTGTACATCACCATACTCTATCTTTCTGATTACCTCACTAGCCTACCACCTGCCCTGTGAATATCCTGAGGTCTGGTACCTGGTCCATCTCAGTGACTGTGCTCACTTTTCAGGAACCAGACACTCCCTCTGGACCATCCGAGTCCTCTTGAACTCCAAACTCACTTTCTGAGAGCTTGAAGCTTAAGAGCTGTATTCAGTTCCACCACCACATGGCTTCATGCAGAGAGGGTCTTCTCTTTCCACGTATGCTGCATTTCCCTGATGCTATATAAATACCCCAAGAGCCTTGGTAAAATGTGGGGGAAATTGGGCTGGGAAAAGGGCTTAGAAACGGTCCAGGTATCAGCTAATCATCATAATCTCATTAAATGCTTTCACAGGCACTGTCTCCCTGTGAGGTAGAGAAGATTGGTATGATTATCCTCATTTTAGAGTCAGATAAACTAGGGCTCAGAGAGCTTGTGATTTTATTAAGCTCAAACTTGGTCTCCAGAGACCAAACAAATCTCTCTAATTGAAAGTTCACCAGCAGAAGCGAGAAGTAAGATATGATAGGGCAGTCATTTTGGGATGTAAGCCTTTTAACCAGAGATAATCAGTTAGCAGTGAGGGCTTCTACCCACCTGTAACATGGAGGTGATTACCATGGGAAACATACTCAGGGGGAAACGCAGGATATTGAAGAGGGTGATGGAGGTGAAGGCCTTTTCTGCATCCAAAACATTATTGCTATTCACCAGAATGTAAACTGAAAATGTGACCACAGACACCTGGAAAAGCAAGGTCATGAGCAATTCATTTCTAAAAAGGGTTCAAACACTTATGCTAAGTTTCAGGAACACAGTATATCAGAGTTGAAGGAGCCTTAGGGATCATTATCTCAACCTTCTTGTGTTACACAGGAAATATTTTGCCCGAGGTCACAGTCAATTAATTGTATTACTGGGACCAGAGTTCGGGTCTCCGGGCTCCTATATTGGTGTTCCTCCCCTCTCTAGGCCCACACAGCCTCCTCAAGAAGACAAGAAGCTCTCCTATGCAAACCATTCCTGATTACCACATTCATGCTGACTATCCTGGAAACTTACTCTGGGCTGCCGGATGACCAAATTGTACACAAGGGTGACATTAGAGTTGGGGGCACCAGGCAGGAATAGCAACTTTGGGAAGTTGAGGAGGGGGATAGATTTTCCAGGATTTCAGGGTTAGGCCTAGAGGCACTGGGCAGTCTGCTGAGAACAGACCTTCCTCTTCAGGAAGCTGACCCAGTCCATTGACTCCTGTCACTCACCAGGACTGGACTTATGTATAAGAGAAATGTCATTATAGTCTGCATCTGACCCAAGGTCAGCAGGTTCTTGAGCTCTTTCTTCCGAAGTTCATGGACTTGCTTTTTGAATGAAGGTTCCCAGGCAAAATACTTCAGGATCTAATAGGATAGAAAACAGCACAGCTCACACTGTTGCCCCCAAAGGACACCAGACAGATCTCATCTACCCAGGTTTTAGGATAGGTTCTCCAAAATAGGGGAGTGGGGGGGGTATAGAAATCCAGATTATAAAGTATTATTATAGAAAGGTAGGTTGCATTTGTCAGAAACCTACTATGTACAGAACGTTTTAATTTTTTTAATCTTTATTTCTGAGAGAGCATGAGTGGGGGAGGGGCAGAGAGGAGAGACACAGAATCCAAAGCAGGCTCCAGGCTCTGTCAGCACAGAGATCTTGTCAACAAGATCATGACCTGAGCCAAGGTCGGACGCTCAACCAACTGAGCCACCCAGGCGTCCCTGTACAGAACGTTTTGAACACATGATCTTACTTAATCCTTATAACAACCTTAGTGTGATCAATGGTCCCAGTTTGCCTGGTCCCAGTTTGCCCAGGACATGGGGCTTTCAATGCTAAGCTCAGAAAGTTCTGGGAAAACCAAGGAGAGTCCCCTACTTTTACAGAATTATTGTGTCAGTTTTAGTGAAGAGGAAAGAGGCAGAAGATACCAGGTAGCTTGCCCAAAGTTACCAAGCTAGCAAGCATTAGAGAGGAGACTCAGGGCCAGGGCTACCTTTTCATTTTGCCACATTTAGCAAAAAGTCATATCAGAATTCTGCGTAGAGAAATACCAGAGAGTTAAAAGAGGCCTCTGCTTCATTTTCAAAAAGTTTAGGGTAATGTTTAAATCCTTGAATTCAAAACAACACATATATTAAAAATTAACTTGCTGGTAAGCTTTGGAGGAAGAAATGTGTTATTTTGAAAGCTGGCCAAAAGAGGGGAAAAAACCAGCATTTTTCCTGCCTGTCCTGCACAAACTTTATTTTAGTGTAACCAACTAGCTAATCGATGCTAAAGGAATAATAGAATTCAAATTTCACTCTTTTGCAATTCCTAATGATATAATAGATCAAGGCAATGATCAGCAGCTGCAAGAACTTCTAGGACAGTTTTCAAACTTGGCTGCATATTAGAATCACTTGGGGGAGATTTTAAAACCTATGTATGCCTAGGCCTCAACCCCAGAAAGTCTAATTTAAATGGTTTGAATTAGGGCCCAAGCCTCACTGAGAGTCAAACTTCCTGGGGGTCAAACTTCCTGGGGGTCAAAATGTGCTGCCAGAGCCACAAATCACTGCTCTGGGGGAAAGAGTGGCAGGAAACCTAATAAGGGGTGAATCACCTGGACCCCCGAACACTCACCATTGCTGGTGTTTGGAAGCACATGGTACTGTCTGAAAGTATCTGTCCTCCCTACCTCCACCAAAAATCAAAACAAAAATATCCCCTATCTAATCAAGCCTCTAGATCTGATTACTAATTTATAAGAAATATAGGAAATAAGACAACGCAGTTTCTCCAACATGACAAAGATAAAAAGAAAAGGGGGGGGGGGAAGAGTCAATTATAGATTAAAAGCAGTAGCAACTAAATGCCATGTATGGATTTTTTTGGATCCTTATTCCAACTAATTAACAGCAAACAAATGACATCTGAGGCAACTGGGGAAATTTAATGGTACCAAAAATGACTAATTTTTTTTTAAGGTGGGATAATAGTATTGTGGTTATGTTAAAAAAATAAAGTCTTTTAGAAACACAGAGTATTTATGTGAAATACAAGATACTACATCTGGGATTTGCTTTAAAAATAATCTAGCAGAGGGGTGCCTAGGTGGCTCAGTTGGTTAAGCATCCAACTCTTGATTTCGGCTCAGGTCATGATCTTGTAGTTCATGAGTTGGAACCCCACATCAGGTTCCTTGCTGACAATGCAGAGCCTGCTTGGGATTCTCTCTCTCTCACTCTCTGCCCCTCCCCTGCTCTCTCGTACTCACTCTCTCTCAAAATAAATAAATAAACTTAAAAAAAAATCTAGCAGAGCATGAAGTGGGTACATAGATGAAACTAGATCATGCTGATAATTGCTAGACCTAGGTGAGAAGTCCATGGGGGTTCATCACATCATTCACTCCACTTGTGTGCACGTTTGACAATTTCGACAGTAAAACATGAGAAGAAAAGCAACCATTTAGGGTAAATAAAGAGAAATGAAGTTTTGAAGGAGGGCCTGAGACCACTGGAAGGAGAAGCAGGAGACCTGCTAACAGGGGTTGGGAGTCCTGGGACACACCACAGGCCCAGAAGTGGGGGAGACCCGCAAGCCCTGCCAGGCCTTTTGAAGGCCGAGAACCCTCTGCTGCTGGCATTTTCCCCCCGGGCCACCTGTACTCGGCTTCTCACCTTGATCCCACTGAGAATTTCATTCATGATCTTTAAACGTTTGTCTTTATTCTTCATATTTTTTACCTGCCAGGAAAAAGTCAAACAAAACACACTTCCTTGTAAGAGGGTCCAGAGTTGCTGCAGATGCTAGGTCCTAGTGATGGCACATGTGGCTGTCACATGGGTGCCTGGTGATAGGATGCATCCCTGCCTGCTCTGCTCAGGCTGCTCCCGCCACACCCATCTGCTTTCTGATCCTTAACTACACCCAGTTCACTTCTGCCCCCACAGGCTTTGCCTGCCTGCGCCTCTTCCCAGGCTGTTCTTCCCAAGGCTTCCTCTCCTGCACAGTCAGGCTCATGCTATTCAGAGCCCAGTTCACATGTACCCTCCTCACAGAGGCTTTTCCTGACCCCATAATCTAAAACCACCACCCATTCACTTGCTCTCATCTCACTCTGTTTAATTTTCTTCATAGTACTATCATGACCTGATAGTTTTCTTCTTCACTTCCGTTTATGGCCTGATTCTCCACTGCAAATAGAATGTAAGTAAGCTCCATAAGAGCAAGAGCTTTGTCTAATTTGCTGCTATATTCCCAGAATAGTATGTACAGAAAATCTTTTAAAAGTAATTACTTGGGACTAAAGGAATGCAAAGTGAATGCATGAATAGATCATGTACACCATTGAGTCCACCCACCAACCTATGACTTCTGGCAGAGCAAAGGACTATCGGCATGGAGCCCCGCCACCTGGTAGGAGCAGGGATGACTGCCAGGATTTAGGCGTAATGTCTGGGTCATTCATGTGTCTGCTCTGCATGATTGGTTTGTATTGCTATGACAGAGAAGCAGGGCCAACAATCACTACTTGAAGAACAGTCCAGCAGAGCAGGGTGGGAGAGTTATGTGCCGTGTCCCTGGGAAGCTCTCCCCTCTCCAATCAGGCTCTGCCATCTAACACGAACGAAGATGGAGTATATAAACCTTAACGGTGCTCAAAAGATGAGAAGGGAATCCAGAGAAAGCCACAGTCATTTGGGATGGTGGAAAGTCTTCCATTAGCATTGCCTGCCCAAATGCCCAAGAGTTAGAGTAAGCAAAAGACTTTAGACTTTGAAGTGGGTGTAGAGATCTCCCTAGGGTGACTCGGTTTCTTTACCTGAACAGCTCTACTCTTGGTGGCAAGTATCCCATTAATTGGGATTAGAAGTACCATCACCCCAACACCTGCTAAGACTGAGGGTCCCAGCTCTGCCCATAGGAAGGAGATACATAAAGTAATCTGTAGAATATTTGACCACAGCAAATGGATGAAGCTGGTCACATCCATGAGCTTCTGGGCATCCACAGACATCAGGTTCACAGTTTCTCCAATGGTGTACTGCTTTCTGCTCTGGTTGGATAGGGTCAGCGCCTAAAGATAAAGATTGGAATTGGGATCTATGGATAAGTCCAAGAACAATGGGGAATAAAAGGGAAACTCAGGAAGTAAGAACACACTAGAAAGATGGGCTCCATATGGACACAACTTTTCCAAGAGGCTAGGCCTTCTTGCCTCCAAATCTTACAGACAGTGTTCTCTCATTTTTGACCACCCTTTCAGGCTATTCCCACCTCCCTGAACCCCCTACCACTTCCACCCCAACACACACACTTCTTTGCTCAGAAAATTCCTAATTATTCTTTAGTGTCAGTTTAGATGGAATTTATTCTGAGAAGACTTCCCTGGACTCCAGAGTTTGGGGTAGATACCCCTCCTGTGTACTCCTATAACACTCTGGACTAACCTCTGTCATTATGGTAGTGACACTGAACTGTAATTGTTTTTCTATTTCTCCACCAGATGCGAACCCGGGAGGACAAGGGCTACATCTGTTCATTTCACTCCTGTATCACATGGCACACAGTAGGGAATCAGATAGTGAAGGATAAAAGGAAGGCAAGAATCATGAGTGGATTCTGGCCGTGCAGACTTCTGACGTGGCAGTTTTATTGGAAGTCATATTCTTATGAAGAAGTTTCAACCGTTTCCAAGGACAGAGATCTTAGAATGAAGAGGAAAGCTGTAGGGTTCACGCATTTGAAGCAAAACCATTTGTTTATGGTCAGGAATTTGTAGGCAACATCTAGATGCTGACTCATACAGCATGGGCCCCCGTTCTCATGTTAGAGAGACCAAAAGACTACTGTCCGTCCACAGGTCTGTTACTTATACCAATGCCTTGCACAAATGCACCTTGCCAAGGGATTGGGGTGGGGGCACTGAAACCAATTCACACCATGCCCACCATACCACCTCCTGAACATTCTTCATACCACTATATCGTCCTGGAGGAAGGAGAGCCTTCTAAGCCCCCAAAGATAGAGTATGGGCTAAGGTTAGTTCCAGGGATCCACCTCCAGCCACTTCCTAGAAGCTGTACTGTCATCATATCCACAAGACCTATTTCTTTGGAACATAACAAGATTCTTGTTTATACAGTAAAATGAGGGATGTTCCCCCAAACGTTAGGCCACCAACGTTCTAGAGAAATCAGTTCACTGCTATGCCTCCCCTTTAGTATGGAAAAGCAAAAATATGCCAACCCTCCCCCCCAACAAAAACCAAACCAAAAAACCAAACAAATTGCCCTTCAAGGTCATCACTTTTCTATTCTCAATAAATCTCAATACAGTAGAAAAGACATTGGCTTAGTCCCAACAGCCCTTATCTGAGGGCAAGTCCTGGCTGTGTGATTATAGGCACTGAAATGATCTAATCCTTACTTCTCTGTAAATAATGCTGTTCCTTCACAGGGCCATGGATTTATAATGGATATGAAAAAAATGTTCTATAACATTTCATAAATGAAGCACTACCTAAACATATAAAAGTCAATTTTAAATTCTATTTTAGTAGCAATATTAATTTGAATGAAAGTCTTATTAAAATCACCATTTTAAAAATTCTTTGTGGATTGTAACAGTTGTAAACTTGGAATATATTAAGAATCAAAAATAGTGGGAATGAGTCAACACAATTGTAAAAGTGTACATTCATAAAAATGGCTGAGACAGCTTGGTTATTGACCTCATATCCTGCAAACAGAAATCCAGTATCTCCAGAAGAAATAAGGGGATTAAAAATTGAGGCAAGACATGGGGCGCCTGGGTGGCTCAGTTGGTTAGGCATCCAACTTCAGCTCAGGTCATGATCTCAGAGCTCATGAGTTTGAGCCCCGCATTGGGTTCTGTGCTGACAGCTCTGAGCCCAGAGCCTGCTTCAGATTCTGTGTCTCCCTCTCTCTCTTTGCCTCTCCCCTGCTCACATTCTCTCTCTCTCTCTCTCTCTTTCAAAAAAGAATTAAAAACATAAAAAAAAAAAAAATTGGGGGGAGGACCAATCCCAGTGTGAGGGTATTCAGGAATTCAAAAGACTTGACCAGACTTCTGGGTTAAAGACATTTGGACTACCTGTCTGGGTTTCTCTCTCTCTCCCCCCACCCCCCAACGCTTTTTTTTTTTGTAACTTAAAAAAATTTTTTTTAATGTTTATTTATTTTTGAGAGAGAAAGAGACAGAGTGCAAGTGGGGGTGGGGCAGATTGAGAGAGGGAGACACAGAATCTGAAGCAGGCTCCAGGCTCCAAGAGGTCAGCACAGAACTCGATGCGGGGCTCGAATTTGCAAGCTGTGAGATCATGACCCGAGCCAAAGTCGAATGCTCAACAGACTGAGCTACCCAGGCGCCCCTCCTTTTTATTTTTTTTTTAAAACGTTTATTTAGTTTTGAGAGACAGAGACAGAGCATGAGCAGGGAAGGGGCAGAGAGAGAGGGAAACACAGAATCCAAAGCAGGCTCCAGGCTCTGAGCTGTCAGCACAGAGCCCAACACAGGGCTCAAACTCACGAACTGTGAGATCATGACCTGAGCTGAAGTTGGATGTTTAACCAACTGAGCCACCCAGGCACCTCACCTGTCTGGGCCTCTTGGTGAGTCAACATCTGCTTGGGGAAGACAGTGACACATGGGTTTTAAGAGACAAATGCAAAGGAGAAAACCAAGAACGATAAAAGAGAAATCACTATGATGGAACTCTCTAGTGGTACAAGAAGGAGGGGAAGAAAAGGCAGTTGATGTTTAATGTTCTGTTCTATAAAAAGTCCTATCTCCTTAGTTCTGAATTTTCTCCTCAGGCTTGTAGTCACTGACTGTAACTACTCTATTTTCAATCCTTTTTATTTATTTATTTTTTATTTTTTTATTGAGATATGATTGATTCTATTTTCAGGGATGAAATGAGATTTCACCTTGGCATCTAGGACACAAGGAAAATACAGTTGCCCTGAGAAAGCAAAATGTTAAAAGCAACATGTTAGAAGATTAGCAAAATCATCATAAGGAAATGGAAAATTTCAAGTCTGCAGAACTCAGTAACCAAAGTGACTGTATTTATAAAATGAGAGAAGGAGTTGGGCAGAGAGGGGGTGGTCAGATGCTAAAGGTTAGAAAAATCAGTCTCTAGGCAAAAGTGGGTCAGGGAGACAGAGTCCTGGCCCATAGAGAATTCTAGTCTATAGCAACATTATAATCTGAGATGGATGCACCAAGTCTTGTGAACCCAGCTTCATGTAATACCCAGTTTAAATGTTGGTGGTTTTAAGAGTTTGCCCTTGGCCAACTTCTTTTCTGATCTTACATTCTTTCTGATTTTAGTATATGTGCTGCCATATACAAGCACCCTGATCTTACATTCTTTTCCAAGGTGTTCTCACTTTGTCAGGAGAGGCAGGAAGAGAGAGACAGGCATGCAAGCCTTCAAGGGTGAAAGGCAGATCCTGGGCAGGGGACAGCTTACCAGCTCTCCTCTGGAGAGTATCTCCCTATGTCCCCAAAACACACACACCCTTTGTCTGTGAATCTGCTTTTCACAGTTTTCAAAGGAACAATTAAAGGAAGCTATCTAGTTAGTCAGAACCAAGTGTTAAGGGTCAGCTAGCATTTCCATCAAATTTTTTTTTTAATCTTGGGATAAGTGCTCACACCTACTAAGGGGATTTTCTGTGGTGAGGTCTGACACAATCCACTTACCTTCTTATATACGGAAGCCATGATGGTTGCCCGCACACTTGTCCCCAGCATGAAGCACAGTTGAAAGTAATTCTGAAGGCAGAGAGACTGGATGAGGGCCACAACAAAGAAGAGGACCGAATAGAGATATCCAACCCACACATATGCATCTCGGTTATTTGCAAAGGAGATCAGCAATCTGCCAAAACAAAAACCATGTAAGTGATGCTCGTGAGGTCTCCAAGGACCCTTCACATTGCTCAGCCAGAGCCAGCTACCCTACCCCTGCCCCGCAGTTAACAGAAGTGACCAGCATTTTCCAATGCCTTTGGAAGACCTGAACTCCACAGTTATGCCACTGTTCTCACTTTTGCTTGGAGGAATAGCAGTGACAGCTTAGAGTTGATGAGCCATGGCTGTGAACAGGGTTAATGAGAGAAACTCTACTTACAGCTGCCATTGCTATGCTTTGGCCCATTCTTCCCCCAGCCCCTGGTAAAAGACGTCGTGTGGGATAAATGGATTCGTTCTTGGGCAATGCAAGCCCGAAAAGTATCCAGCATGAGTTAGAACTTGTCCCAGAGGGCAGCTCATCCCATAGATTCTGGCAGACCGTGAAGTCTTGTCATGATTAACCGGACCCTCCCACCGAAGGCAGTGGCCGGAGAGATGGAGTTACAGACACTAGGTACAAGTCTGTGTTCGATTTGCTGCCCACCTCTTGGGCATGGCTCTTCCTATATCAGTTCCGTTTACAAGAGCCCCTAACTAGTATCTGGCTTCCTAGGAGGAGAGAGATGTAGAAAAGAGGAAGGCCAAAATATATAGCATTTTAGAGCTTGAAAATGGCCTTGCGTTTTTCATGAACATAGCACTGCAAGGTGGAAGGCTATCATGAGCATTTAAAAAAATGGGAATTTAATATTAAGCCCCTGTGTGCATATACAAGGGACAAGCAAAAGGCAGAGGAGGTCCTGAAAGGATAAGGCAGGCCCAGGACTCACTTCAGCAGCTGAGGATTCAGAAACATGAGGAGGTCATGCATCAGCTTCAGTAGGAAGGACTTCAAGAGTAGGACGTAGAAAGTTTTGAAGAGAGTCTTGACCAACCAGGCCTTGGGAAAGTTTTCTGTAGTGCCAGACTTTTCTTTCTTTTTAACATCTTCCTAGGTATAAAACCAAACAACAGTGCCCACAGGGCTATGTAGTGTAAAACTTTGTCTTGCACCGCACAGCTCCAGAGTGTTAAGCCTCTGAGTCCTGTCACCTTCTTTGTACAGATTTTGGTCTTCTCACTGCCTGGTTACCATCCACCCTTTCAGCCGCCTCACCAGGCAACTAAACTGGTGAGAATACCACATAAAAACAAAGAATAGACTCCAAGTGGCAGCCTGGAGGGTAATCCTGAGAGTGAAGGGTGACAGTATATTTTTTTGATGTTCAGAAGTCTTTTTGGTTTTTTCTCACTTTTTCTCACTATGGTTGTTGTGGGTTCAATTATGTCCCCCCAAAAGATACGTTGAAACCCTAATCCCCAGTACCTCAGAATGTGTCTTTATTTGGAAACAGGGCCTTTGCAGATGTAATCAAGTGAAGATGAAGTCAAGAGGGGGTGGGCCCTACTTCAATATGACTGGTGTCTTCATAAGAGAAGAGACTCAGATGCAGAGAGAAGATGGTCATGTGACGACAGAGGCAGAAATCAGGGTGATGCATCCACAAGCCAAGGGACAGCAAAACCGGAAGGTAAAAGAAGCAAGGAAGGTTTCTCCCTTACAGGTTTTGGAAAAAACATGGCCCTGCTGATACTTTGATTTTAGACTTCTAGCTTTCTACCTGTGACACAAAAAGATTGTGTTAATTTTGTGGTGTTTTGTTAGGGCAGCCCCGGGAATCTAATACACGGGGCATTACCACTCACTTGCCAGTGTCTTCCTTTTCCTATGATTTGGCCTCTTTATTACATTCTCCAGGGTCCCATCAGGCCCCAAACTCCAGCTTCTCAGCCTCAGTTTCCAGGTTTTTCTACCAGTGACATCCTCTTGTAATTTTGTCACTGAGATCCCATCTGATCAGTCTCTTTTGCCCCCGCCTGCCTCCCAGCTTCCAGCCTTGCCCCCCAACCATCCATTCTTCCAGCAACAGCCCAAATGGGCTTTTAAGAGTATAAATCTGGTCACATTACTCCTCTGCTCAAAGCCTTCCCCTAGCTGTCCATCTTTGTAAAATAAAACCCAGATTCCTAACCATGGTCCCTAAAGGTCTACACAGCTCATTCCCTGTCCACTTCCCTGAGCTCATCTCACCGCCTGCTCAGCCTCTCCCTCCATGCCCCAGAACTTTCTTGAAGCTCTCTGAATAAAGTGTGTTTCCCTCAGTCTCACATTCCTGTTCCTTTGGACTGGATTACACTTCTTTCTGATGGTCCCCCAGGTGGATTCTTCTCAGACTTTGGGTCTCTGCTCAAGTGCCAGCTCCTCTGAGAAGTCTCTCCTAGGACCCTAAAGTCACTTCACACCAAATACATTAACATGTTTTGTTTTTCTTTTCTCTCTCTTTTTTTTTTTTTTTTTTAGAGAGAGAGAGAGCGAGCGAGCGAGCATGGAAGCAGGGGAAGGGCAGAGGAAGAGAGAGAGAATCTTAAGCAGGCTCCACACTCAGCATGAAGCCCAACATGGGGCTTGATCCCACAACCCTGGGATCATGACCTCAGCCAAAGTCAACAGTCGGATGCTCCCCTGACTGAGCCACCCAGGCACCCCAATGTATTTTCTTAATAGCATTTATTACTCTCAAGGAGTAATATGTATTGGTTTATTATTTATTTTCCAGCTATCTAAAGAGGACTCTTTCAGGCCATTCCTTATGCCCAGTGCCCAAAATAGTCTCTGTTACTTGGTACTGATAAATACTGTTGAGTAAATAAATAAATGAATAAATTACCTAATGCTAAAACCCACCAAGGTGCAAATTCCAGTAATGCTAAGATATTATTTTTCTAAAGACACATAATAGAAAAATTCAAACATACCCAAAAGGAGAGAGAATAGCACATTATACTCAAATGTTTCCATCACTAAGGTATTATTAGTATTATGAATACTACAGATAATATAAAATGCACTGTATAAAGTGCTATCAAAATGTAAGGACAGAATCATTATGCCACTGATGCCCTTCTGCTTGAAGACATAAAGCACACTCACACAGACACTCATGGGAAAGTTACCAGGACAAGGATATCTTGGCTTTGACTCTGATTCTTGTTCAAGCCATGCAGCCTGTCCCTGGAGTTCCCCTGTGCTCTCCCCCGCTGTCGTCTCTGGACTGCCTTCCTGGCCTTCTGCAGCTCTCCTGCCATACATTTTTCAAACTTGCTGACCAGGGTCTTCGTTTTAATCTTTTCATCAAGATCCCAGACATCTTCGAGTGTCAGAGGTTGCTTGTAGCCTTTCAGAACAATGCTGGAACCAGAGTGACCCATAGGCTGAGACCATACATGTGGAGTCAGGGCGGGGGGAGGTCCCTTGCTGCTTCTTTCAAAACCTGCTCCCTGGTTCAGAGATGGAGGGGCAGAGGATGGCAAGAGGGCCACTGCCCCATCTTCTGGCCCTTTGAACTTGGCAGAGGAGTGGGTAGTGCGGAAAACAGATACAAAAGGTGATGGAACATGGAAGAAGATGAGGAGAAGGGAAAGAGGGGCGGCACTACTGAATTAAAAGCCAAAAGAGCATCACTTCCTCCCCATCCTTCCTCCTCAAACACTGGCTGCCTCTCTGCCACTCTGGAATCTCCTTGAGGGGCTTTCATGCTGCCCTTAAGGAACTGAGCAGCCCTGGAGGCCTCCTCTATACAGTCTCCCTAGATCAGGGCCCATCAACCTGGTATTTGAGGACATGGATACAAAATAAATTATATCTTTATCTTTACTAGCTTCTAACTGAATTTTAGCCTTTCCTTAGGACCTGAACGTAGGCTACCAAACAGTTGTAAAAAGGACTGCCTGTGCCTTGGACACCAAGAGACATCACAGTGTTTTCATGGCTCATTTACATCATCATTACTTTGAAGTTGTGATCATGATTAGCCCCATCAATAGATCTTGTCATTTAATGAATTCTTAAAGAAGCACTTGTGTTACTACATCACAAATTTGTGTTTTTTTAATATTTAAGTGATTATATTTCAATATATTCGGTTTCCTTTGTAACTCTATACCTTTTACGTTATACATTTAAAACATGATTTGAGAAGGGATTTATAGACCTCACGAGCCTGCCAAGAAGGCTCCAGATCTTTTGGTAGCCCAGCTATTTCACCCCTTACCCTCCAAATCATGCCACACTGCCTGCACCCAAATTCTCCTTTTCTTGTCCTTCTGCCTCTTTTTCCTAATGTCCTTTGTTTTTCCCTGTGGAACCCCCAGACCACCAAAAGAAAATCCCCCTCCACCCTCTCCTCCACATCCTCTGAAATAAATAGATCCATTACATTAACATTCTTGGACTCTAAGAGGAGAAATGGAGGCCTCAGGAAGCATTTTTAAAATTAAGATTTCCATCACTTTCAGAAGAATGAAGGGGTAGGGATACAGACAGCCCATACTCCGGGCATTTCCTACCTGTTATACCAACTAAAGGTAATGCTACTCAGAAATGAAGCCGTGAATGATGGATTCTGTAAGACACACACACACACACACACACAAAAAAAAAAAAAAAAAAAAGAAAAAAGAAAAAAAAATCAAAAAGTAATTCAATTTGAAACAGGAACTTTGTGGGACTCTATAATCAGAAACTGATTTTTATAGATATAATGTTATGCTAAAAAGTAGATATAATACTGAAGTAGACTGGACAACAGATTTATCTGGAAACCCTGAAGTTATTAGTAAAAATCAGATTTTCTGGCATAGATATATGATGAATTGTCTATGCTAAAGATTGGTGGGTCAATGTCAAAGTATTTCCACACACACAAAAGTATTTCCACATGCTAGTCACTCTATTTCCTTAAGCCATAAATGGTCCACTTTGCTATATTGTGGGCTCATGTGTCCTCCATGAGCCCTGGGCATCTCGAAGTTATAGTTGTCAAGATACCATCCAGTTAAATACTAAATGAGGTAGGCATATTTAGTGTCTCACATTCGAGGAGTCATCTTTTTCTGAAAATGCTGAAAGTATCAGGATCAGGACGTTCAGCGCATAGCAGATGAAGAACAGGCAGGAGTAAGCCAGATTAGAATTGTTGCCCTATGGGGGAAAACAAACAAACAAACAAACAAACAAACACAAACAAACCAACCAGAAATAAATGGGCCTTTTTCCAAATTAAGTCTAAATGTCCCATATGTCAATGTTCATGATTAAAACCTATCATCAAATTCCCCTATTCTATCCCAGAGTTCAACTGACTGTATGCCATTTACTCTTAGAAGGTGCTCACCTCTACCTCCTCGTGTCACCCTCTCTTTCCTCCTTACCTTTAAGAGTGTCCGGATCAGAGTCTGAAACTGGAAGACGCCACAGAGTACTGAGAGAATCCAGAATAGGGACAGGAACCAAGAGTCCTTCTGCACACACCATAGTCTGCTGTGTTGGAACAGCAAAACCAGGAGCTAGAGAGAAGTTCACATCGAGTTCTGAAGAATATGGTCACTAACTGAGGACAAGAGGCAAGAAAGAGGCCAGAGAACAAGGGAGCAGTAGGTCAAAGGAGGAGATTGTTATAACTAATCTGGCCAAGCAGAAAATACACAATGCCAAATTGTAGACTTCCTCCCTGATACCACCCATCTTCCTCTTTCAGGGCCTCAGCCTCAGGGCTCTCCTTGGGACCCCCTTCCCCACCCCTATGTCTGTTCACCACACTTGGGTGGGGAGTTAGCCAAGAATACAGAGGGTCCTCTACTGCATTTTAATGGAGTTACTCTGGGAGCCAGATAAGTCTTTTCAAGACCCAAGGAAGTTAATGTCAGGCACTACAGTAGTCCATCTGGGGAGGCAGATTCTGCTGGACGAGTGCAAGCTGTCTATAGGATTTTCTAATAATATCAAACTAAGTAATAATAATAAAAAAAAAACTTGCCTTGTAACAACTCACTTAAATATAATTAAATGGTTGTTTCCTAGATTCTGTGCCGAACATGTAAACTAGCATTCTGAAAACAAAGCCACGATTAGTAGCATTTGCTAATTTTTGTGGTGTAGAGATTACTACCATGGTAGATGTCAAGCCCCAACATACAGTCACTAAACAGCGTCGGGAAGAGATGCACACGGCCCTGTGAGCGGGCTCCAGCACACCATGCCTACACCCTTCTTGTTTTATAACAATGGTAGCAAACAATAATGCCTGCAGGGGCCAGGCCATGTTCATTCCCGAGTGAAGTAAAGGTGGAAGACTATGCTGAGCAGATGTGTAATCTATCAGGGATGACTGCCACTCAGTGCCAGCTGACCATTGCCCTATGGGGACACAAGCCCATAAGTGCCAGGCATGCTGATTTTCCAAAGAAGTTTAGAAATCCACAGAGTTATGTGGCATCTTCCTCTTTTAAAAAATGGTGGCAACTAATTCAGTTGTTGTTCAAACACTGCACAGGCCTCCCCCAAAAAACAGCCTGTAGGAGAAATAGCCGTTTCTGTTATCAAGTTTATACAAACAACCCTGGACTCTACGATCCATTGATAAGACTATTGGTCAATTTAAGAATAACATTTACATAACTTTTTTTTTTTAAACTCCTGAAACACTGTTTATTTCACTGAAACCTGGAAGCAGGGGAATGGGTATGTGAATGTCTGGGACACCAAGCCTAGAAGTGCATGTTGACAACAGGAACATACAGGGCCAGGGTGCTGAGGGCTGGACAGCTGTCCAGGGAACAGAGGTGGACAAAGATCTCTATGACAAAGGTCTTGTAGCACTAAAGAACACCAGTAGGAGTACTGCTGGCTCAAAAGTGTGGTACGGGTCATAGCGTGCAATCATCTAGACCTGGGCGGATGTGTCGATGTAATGGACAAGACTAATGTTGGAGTCCATGCTCTTCTGGATGTACTTCCAGTCAAACTCAGTGTCCTGGGTTCCCACTCAGAGGGGGATGTGGCGGGACATAACGAGCACGGTGATGGCCCAGCCCCAGGCAGCACCCATGACCTGTACTCCCCCTTGCCTGCATTCTGGGACATGACAAGGTTTAGGCCTATCAGGTCTACCACATCCAAGCTGGCCTTCACGAACTCCCCAGTGAACTCATACATGCCGCCTTCCCAGGTGAGGAAAAAAAAGTAGCCAGAAACAGCATCTTGCACAGCTGCACGAAGAGGTGGGTGACCCTGGCCTGCACACATTTCCAGAAGGCATTGTACTCAGGCCACTGCACTTGTAGGTGATGAAGTAGGGGAAGTAGCCTAGGGCAAAGCCATTCCTGAAGTAGAACAGGGTCATGGTGCTGACCTCCTGCACCCACCAGAGTGTGGGTCTCTGCCTTGGCCAGACTGACACTCGCTCATGTATAATTATTAGATGGAAAGATAGGAGGGCATAAGGTACGTACCTTTGTCATCAGAGCTAGTATTTACACTAGGGAAAAGGATCTAGATGTTAGTGTTCAAAAGAATATGAAAAGCTAAAATTTGATTCAACTCCATTACAAACAAGTTTTGCCTCATCATAGGCGCCTGAAAAAAGGTAGAGGAAACTGGACTTAGTTTTATTCCAAAAGAGTACATTTCAACCAGATGACTATGAATAGGGAGAGAATAAACAGGGCAGGAGTGGGGATACGCCTTACCCATGTGCCCAGGTAAAGGCTTGGATTGGTATATCTAATGGCAGGGACCGTGGCTTGTCCAGAGTCTTCTGTGAGTACAAGGACCAGTTCTATGGCTGTTAGAATAAGAAGGAACCCAACAAGCACCTGAGAAGGAAAAAGACCACTGTTAAGAAGATATCATTCTTTAGAATAGAATGGTTCCTGATAAAGATAATAAAGATAGTATGCAGTGATTCAGAGAACATGTAAGTAATACTGGCATCAATGAATACATGTAGTTCAAGTAATGGAATAAAGATCAATGTATGCTAGGACAGGTTTTTGAGGAATGTTGAGTATGGTGATTTTAAACTCTGTTCATAAATTCTGATATCTTCCTTCAAAAGATCTGATATCTTACCCCTTTTGTTGACTGTGAGCTTAGTCACTCATTTCTAAAGAGTAGAATATGCTAGAAGGTCATAAAACACAATATGGCTTCCTCGTTCTCTTTCTCAGATCACTTACTTCAGGGAAAGCTACCAACATCATCATGAGGATATTCAAGTAGCTCTATGGAGAGATCCATTTGGTAAGTAACTGAGACCTTTTGCCAACAGCCATGTGAGTGAGTCATCTTAGAATTAGATGCTTTAGCCCCACTCAAACCTTCAGATGACCTTAGTCTCTTCTAGCATGTCAGCTGCAACCTCATGAGAGACCCTAAAGCAGAACCCAGGTAAGCTGCTCCCAAATTTCTGACCCACGGAAAAACTGAGAGAAGAAATGTGTTTTTAATAGCTAAGTTTTGGAGTAATTTGTTACACAATAGGTAATAAAAATAGATTTGAAAAGGGAATCCCCCTACCCCAACTGGGATTTCTAGTTTCCTTGGTCATATTCTCTTTCCTTGGTTATTTATTATTCCCCAGCTCTTCCCCATATAACCTTTGAAGTTAACATTGCAAAGGAGTGTGACTATGTCACCCTAGGAAGACTCCAAGCCAATCAATATTTGTCCTATGAGTTCATAGGACATCATACACATTGTATTGTTCTAAAGAATCACCCCCACCCATCAGAATGAAAAAAGTACTACTTCCACTGAGGAAGTAGCAATTCTCATTCTCAGAATGAAGATCTTTAGTACCCTCTTCTACCAGCATCCCTTCCCACCCATCTATCCCTACTCATTCCCATGTCTCATTCATCCAGAATAGTTCAGGCAGAGATATTGGGCTGCTTGTAATGAAAACCAACCAAGGAGGGAGGTGAATCCATCTGTAGTAGGACCAGTGTTGTTATTTAGCAAGGCATAAAGTCAAAGACATGTTGATAAAGAGAATGTATTTCTCAAGTAGATTAATACATGATGTTGTGCTTTCCTCACCTGAGGCTGTGGGTTTTTTTCTGGAAAACCACAACAGCTTTTGAAGCATTTATGTTTACCTTTAGGTGACCTGGGAGTAAAATAGAGCAAAAGGTGGAGCTACAGCCCCCAGTCAAGGATGACTTTAGGTCAGGTGAAGGGAATACTAACCAGCTCCTCAGGCCAAGGAAAAAGAGCAGACCCCGCCACAGGCTCACATACATTAACGCTCGCAAACTGATTAGAAATATACTGAGCAATCCACATCAAAAAGGACAATTTACATTATAGAGAACTCCCACAAAGCAATTTAAAACAAAAACAAACAGTCCAGTGCAAAGGGCATAGAATGGAAAATTTGAAGAAAAAAAGCCACACATGGCTTTTAAGCACAGGAACAGATGTTTAACCTCACTGATAATTAGTGCAATTTCAAATGATACCAATATGCAATTTTTCATGTAACTGATTAGCAAATATCAAAAAGTTTGATAAAAATTTGGTGAGACTGAGGAAAAACCTCTATGGAGGTTAATTTTCACCATATATAAAAACTTTGAGCCCATATACTCTTCATCCAGTAACTTCACTTCTAGGAATTCATGCTACAGACACACTAATAGGTACAAAGTTATTTACTGCAGCACTGCTTATGACAGCAGGTTAAAAACCACCTAGATTTCTATCACATGGGGCACATAAGTTATGGGACACCCAAGTAACAGCATCGTTAGTAGTCACTGAAAAGCAAACAGATTCTGGGGTATCTGGGTGGCTCAGCCGGTTAAGCATCCAACTTGATTTTGGCTCAGGTCATGATCTCAGGGTTCATGGGTTTGAGCCCCCATTGGGCTCTGTGCCTAGCATCTTATTCTACATTTCATAACAAGGTCAATTAGGTCAGTTCAGTTAAACAGTGAGTGGTCTTATTTCAGGAGGTGGTCCTGCAGGTGGGCTTTCAAAGTTAGGCCCACAATGTGTAAACAACCGGGTAGATAATTAACCAGATATACAAGAAAACCAGAAGAATTCATGATCCAGGCTAGTTTTATAGGTAAACAATAAATATTCAAGGACAATTAATCAGAACTAGAATCTAATACCATAAAGGAATCTAACCATAAAGTTTTGTTACTGAAACATTTTTTTTCCTTTCCGAAATCACCGTCAAAAGGTAGCCAAATTAAGACTAACTTGTTTATAGAACAAGTCCAGTTTTAACAAACTTGGCCTGTTTACGTAAGTGCAGCAAGAACAGTGGCTGGCCATTTAAGTTCTTTTAAATCTGGTTTGCTGGAACTTTTCATAAGGAATTTCAGGTTGAGCCGTTAACAGCCTTTCAAGGCCAAGACACTTGCTATTAGACTCCCCTGCAATACCTATGGATTTGGGTTACTTCCTCTTCTTGAGGCCCCCAAAATATCATGAACCTGCTAGGAAGTGACCTTTCCTCCTTACCTGGTAAGGCTCCCAGGAACCCTGTAAACAAGGTACCAGGCCAATTTTTTCCCAACAGGCATTCATTGGCTCCATAAAATCAACCTTAGTTCCTTAAAGCTGTCTGGTCATATTGGAGTCTATGCATGTCTCTCTCAAATAGGACATTCCAGTCAAGGCCTTGATAATACAACTAAATGTTTCCAATGGTGCCATGTTACAAGGAAAAAAGATTTTCTTTTGGGGGGGAGGGGAGAGAAAGAGAGAGAGAGAATGAATGAATGAATGAATGAATCCCAAGCAGGTTCTGTGCTCTCAGCATGGAGCCCCACTTGGGGCTCAATACCACAAACCAAGAGATCACCACATGAGCCAAAATCAAGAGTCGGATGCTTAACTGACTGAGCCACCCAGGTGCCCCAGAAAACAGATTCTTATTGAACTTCTACAAATAACTAACTGATTTCCCTTATGACAGATTCTTCTAGCTTCACTTAAGCCAGCCACCATAGCAGCTACTATAGCACTGGGTTGATTAATCATAGGGGCAGATACAAAAGTCCTGTACCATGCCCCCAGGGGTCTCTTGTCCCCCAATATCTCACAGTCACAACATGCCCACTTTTGCTTAAAGCAGATCATTAGCTCCACTAATTCACTTGCAGAATATGCCCTCATAGCCACTCTCTGACTAGTAGGAATTCCTTCTCCATCATCCCCAGGCTCAAGAGTGGCCTAGGTCTTTGAATCAGAGGGCTTGCCCGTAAATCCTTTTCCTTTTCCATGATAACATCTTCCTTGCCAGAGAAGTCATCACCCCAGGGATCCCATGCTTTGGGGGCACAAGTCTCTTGAGACAGAGTAGCTCTCACTTGGGTACACCGTGGTCTGTGCCCATGCATCTTTGCCATCTTATTTCTAACCCCTACTCCTAACCCTGAAATCTTACAGACCTAATGTCTGCATTAGAGGAAAACATGGCTCATTCATCCTTTTCCAAAGCCAACGCTTCTCTGGTCTGTTCCAATTCTCTTCCTTATTCCTAATTCTCAGTCTGTGGCCTATCGCAAAGCACAGATCAACTGCCAAGCTACCACCAAAATAGCTCGTTCGCTATCTCTGTTTCCTTTCCCCACCATTGCAAACAGGATATCTGACAATCCCTGGGGAGTTTTCAGGACAGCCCCATACTCACATCCTGATCCAAAATGCTCAAAAAACCTGGCCAAGGCTCTTCACATGAAGGTAGCTGGCCAACCTGGGGTTCCCCTGAGGGAACAGGCTTTCCCCTGGCACAGCCCCTTTACCCACGCTGGGGTCATTTCCGGTAGCTTGCAAACCACACCAATCGTCAGCGGGTGGAGGAGGGTCAGTAGTGCATCCTTCAGCCTGAAAAGGCACTTTAATACCGAAAAGCAAAGGAAGCCACTCTATACCATTCACACAGAATTTCGTTCAGGGTAATCACTTACAGACAGGGACTAGCGGGCGGGCGCCAGCTGATGACCTAGGGCCGTACGCAGCTCTTCTCTACCACCTCCCTCCCCGTTCTCTGCAACTACCTGGACCTTAATCCCCAGCTCTTATGGAGCGAGGAGCATGATGGTGAGGTCACAGGGTAGTTATCTAAAGTGGTGCCACCTGTGCACCAGAGACGAGCCCAAGGTGAAGGACCAAAGATGGAGTCAGTGTTATAAGCATTCCTACAGTAGTCACCAAAATTAAGAATAACGTTAATAACAATGGGAAATTCTTTTCATATCATCTTAAGCAAAAAAGCATAGATTATGAAATTGCATATGCAATGAGCTTAATTATGTTTTAAAAATATGCATAATACGTAATCAAGTTTGGGATCTTGAGATGAGATCATCCTGAATTAGAGTAGGCCTTAAGTCCAATGACAAATGTTGGTCTTACAAGAGAATGGGAGAAGACACATAGGCATGGAAGACACAGGCAGAGAATGGAGTCATGCAGCTATAAGTCAAAGAATGCCAGGGATTTCTGGCAGTCCCCAGAAGTTAGGGGAGAGGCATGGGATAGACTCTTCCTCAGAGCTTCCAGAAGGAACCAACATTATCAACACCTTGATTTCAGACTTTTATCCTCTAGAATTTGAAAAATAAATATGTATTGTTTAAAAAAATAATACACACACACACGACAGGATTTTCCAGTTCAAGATACCAGATTTAGTATATTTATCTCCCATCCTTCTCCATTCCATTGATCTGCTTTATTACCACGTAATAAATCCATAACAGCACTGAGAATATGAATGGAGAAGGATAAGCTCAGTAGACCAGAAAAGTTCTAGAAGACAAAAAGCAAACATGTCAATAGTGACAAGAAAAAG